AACTTGGAATTAAAATAAACACTAACAATGATATCATATGTTCTTTTACTTTTATGTTTATCATCAATGTTTTCCTTCACAAGAGTAAATATCTTTTAAAAATCAACCTAATATCTATCATTTATTTGTAACTATTGATTATAATATATAAAAAATATTTTTATTATCATATTATGCCATATACATGTTTTCATTTTTTAAAATTTATCATGTTATTATATCCGTATCGTGTTTCATAGATTGTTTCTTCGTTCGATATGACTAAATTGTGATCCAATTTTGCATTGAAACATTCTGCTTATATTTGCCAAACTTTTCAGTAGTAGATTGTCCGTACAGAAAGAGCTAGGGATAGTTGAAGGTGGTTTGGAGATGATTCTCACCATAGCCAGTGCTTTACTGTTGTTCGACATTCTGAAGCTTCATATCTTGTTCCCTTTGTATGCTTCAGAAAAGGAAAAGAAAGTTTAATGATCCCTGATGTTGAGGTTCTTAAATGTCAAGTTTGTCAATGTTTGCAGCAGAGGGATTTTCCAAAAGTCTGCTTGACACTTGATCAGTTTTTGGTGGCTAAATTTCCCAAAGAATGTGCTCTGAGAAAAGATGCTGTTCAGCTCAAGCAAGATTCTTCCAAGCATGAGAGAGCAACCACCTGCATGTCTCAATTCCCCATTGATCCATCTTGTTTTAGTATCCATCAAGTTGACATTTGCTTGATTTAGTGGTTAGCTGGATCATACAATTTATTCCGCCATTTTTTCCTGCCAATAGGCTTATTGCCATATTCTAGAAGCGTAAAAATGAAGCATACAATTACTGATTCGTTCATGTTGGTAAAATTAATCTTAAATATGTCTGAAAATCCTCATGTATTGGCTTTCCCATCACGCCCTCTCTGATTGCTTCAAGAGACGCTGAAAAATAAATTTGGAGATTGTGCTTTCTGAGTAATCACACGTTTGCCAATTTTGTTATCATCCTTGACTTGGGAAAGCAGGGAAACCAATCCCTAAAAAAGGGATTAGTACAAATGGTTAATGTTTATGATTTGGATTCCAAACATTTAGAGATGGTGTGTAAATTCGAAAATTTTTAAAAAATTCGTATAGTTTTTTATGGATTTGCGACTTATCTAACCTTAAAGGTGGGTAATCTCCCTTAATCTTTATTTTTTTTGGATAAAAAAATTAAAATATTCGAATAATCACTCAAAATTAAGAAATTTTTAAATAATCATTTAAGTATTAATTTTTTTAATTTAATTATCTAAATTTGAATAAATATTTTTTTTCACTTAATCAATAATGAATAATGGCGTGTTAATGTAATAATGTCATGTCAGTTGTGAAGTGTCACAATGACATTATAAATATTTAAAAAAATAAACAAATTACAGTTACTTAACTTTTTAAAAATTTATAGTTTGATCTTTCAATTTTAAAAATTTACAAGTTGATCACTAACAAATAATTCCTTAATTTTTATGAGAAAATAGAAATAAACATTGATATTTTTATTTTATGGAATTAAAGTATAAAACTTTTATTTTATTTTAATTATATATCATTTAAATTTAAAAAATTGATAAATATTATCTAATACCAAAATTATTAAAATAGCATTACTTCAAATTTTTATGATTCAATCCATTTGAATAAATTCAATTAAGTATTTTATATTTTATAATGTCGAGATTCTAATTATAAAACAAGTTCATAAATTTAATTTTATCTAATAAAATATTAAAAAATATACAGGTAACATAAATTTATTGTAATTAAAACAATGACATTATGAAATATGAAATTTATTAATATTTTGGTTTTCATTGTCAATAACTCATTATCATTGTAAATTTATAATAGGTTGATCACAAGCATTAATAAAATTTAATATAATAAATTATTTTATTATTAACATTATCTATAAAAATATATTAGGATAATACTCAAATAAATCATTGAATTTTATAAAAAAATTAAAAATAAATATTCAATATTTCTATTGTATAAAATTAAATTATGAATTGTATTTTATTAGAATTATATCATTGAAGTTTAAAAAATAGAAAAGTATTAATCAATTATCAAATTTATTAAAATATTATTATTTTAAATATTTATGGTTCAATTAATCCAAATAAATTTATTTTATATAATTATCTTTAAAAAATAATTTAATAAATTTGAAATTCAAATTGTACTTTATTTCTTTATCTCTAGATTCTATATATATATATATATATATATATATATATAAACACTAACTGATAAAATTAAAATATGGTACCATTTACTTTATGGCTCCATATCAATATAAATTGCATTGATAAATGCAACATTATTCATCATTCTTTTTTCTCATTTTCTTGCCGTTGTATATTTAATTTTTAAAATTTAAAATTTAAAATGTAAAATTATTTCAATTAATTTATGTTATCAATCATAAAAAAATAATATTTAATAAAATTTAAATTCAAATTTCGTCGCTTATAATTTTTTTTATTATCAACTTTTTTTATGTACTAAAAAAAAACATTTATAAGTAGTACTTTTCCAATTAGGAATCACCAGTTTTATGTAGAAATAAATAAATCCTTTTGCGTCAGGGCATAAATTAAATGTTATTGAATGTAAGTTATTGTGCGTAGGACCAAGCCACCAAGCAGAAGATCAAGAGCACGTTGCTGAACTTTAACATGACGAATCTGAACCACTATGGCTTAACACAACCCCGGAGCCAGTCCCCATCTCATTGAATTTCACCCTGCCATGTGGACCAACACCATATTCATGTTTCTTTTATTTTTTTTAAGACAGTAAATAAATTGAACATAAACAAATAAATATATATTTATATTTGTTCATTTAATTTTAAAAATATTCATATTTAGTTCATGTTTATTAAAGAATTTTCTTTGTTTTTTCACATTTATTTATTTAAATAATAAGTTATTCATATTTGTTCAATTAAATTAAATAAATTTATTTATAAATATTAAATAAATATATTCACGAACATATATAAATAAATAATTTATAAACAATAAAAAAATTATAACTAAACAAATTACAAATTTTAAATGAATATAAACGAACCTAAACAAATATAAATGAACATTAAAATAAGATTTGAGTAAAGGATAAAATGTAATTTTATTTATATTATTATAAACGAATAACAAACAAATAACAATCGAACAATAAACAAACGAGTTTTAAATCAACTGTAAAAAAATTTATTAATGAACATAAATAAAACGAATAAACAACTATTCGTGTTCGATTTTTTAATAAATGAATGCATAAATAATGTTCAAAATTATTTATTAAGTTTAGTAAACGAACATAGAGAACAAAAATTAAATATGTTAACGAATGATTCGTCAAAAACTCTGTTCTCTTACATTCTTAATTTTTTTAGAATGATATTTGAAAAATAAGAAAATAAATTATAGATAACAAGATTTAAATTATAATTTTGTTGAATATATTTTTTAAAGTGACTATATAAATTAAAATTTGAATTTTAGTCGGATTTATTTTGATGATTAAAATGTTAAGCAAAAAAAGAAAAAAGAGGGGAGTTTATTTTTTATAATTTTATTAATGATTGATTGGTGATTAAATTATACACTACACGAAATTAGAAACCTACCTTAATTTGGATAAACTCTAAATGAGTAAAATATATAATATTCATAAAAAATTTTTTAGTAAAACAAGTTTCACAATTAATAATCTTGCTTGTCATTTGGATTTATTATTATAATTTCCATCCCAAACTTTGAATTATAAAGTAATGAATAATTAATAATATTGATTAAACTTGATAATTTTAAATATGATATAATGATATAATATAAAAATGATACGAATAAAAGATACAAAAATAACATAATTTAAAATTTTAACAAAGATTATAAATAAAATTTAAAAAATTATTTTATATGTTTATATTGATATAAATTATAATATATAATTTTTATATAAAATATAATATAACTATATAAATTATTAATATTTTATATAATATAAATATACGAACTATCATATATAATATTAATTAGAGCAAACAAGAAAAGAATAATTCTAATAAAAAAAAGCTCTGATCAAGGTGGAAGTTGCTAAATTATAAATGGAGAATTGAATATGAACGTTTGTTGATTCAAATAGTAAAAAATTTAATTTTTTAAAATAAAATTTTGATTTTAAATTTTATAAATAAAAAATATAAACGTTAAGAGAATTTATTATTTTATAAAATTTGATTTGATTCGATTATAAATTAATCAAAATTTAAAATAATTATCAGATAAGAAAATCTAAGAAAAAAAATAAAATGGATGACCGAATGCAAATGCCATGTCGGTGGGTGGGCATTCATACTCTGACCATTTTGCCTTACAGCGAGTGTTGGAGAAACGTTAACTTCATAAACACTCGAACCTGCTCTTTTTCTAACCCAGACAAATGACACTGACTTATAGTAAATGTTTGTAATGGCATTATGTCAAGTATAAATTAAAAAAATTAACAGAAGAGGTTTCATAATTCATAGGCTTAATTATAAAATAATTATTGAATTAAAATTAAATAATAATTTAAGTCATTATTTTAATTAAACTTTCAAATATTTAATTTCATCCAATCTAATAAAAGACAAAATTTGGTTGATGATGAACACCTATAAATACTTAAAACTGGAAATAAGGCAATAAAAATTATACAAACAATTAAAATTTAGGGTTTAAATGTAAATTATTCTTATAATTTTTATTGATAAATAATTTATAAGTCTCAAAATTTTTTAAAAATTCGTGAATTAACAATTTTTTTAAGCTTAAAGATAAAATAATCTCTTATTTATAAATTTTTTAAGAAATTGAAAATTAAATATTTAAAAATTTAATTAATTATAATAAAAAAAATATTTAATTATTTAATTTTAGTTCATATAAAAAAAATTATATATCTAAATGGACCAAAGGGGCAGCCAAGCAAAATATCATGAGAAAATGAAAATATCACTGTTTTCTTAACCCCAACCCTAACTTTTCTATCCTCCTCTCTCTGTCTTTTCTTTTTTCTCTTTCAGATACGAACATTGGTCCCTTCTTTTTTGCATCCCTCCATTACTCTACCTTAAAACCTCTGTTTGCTCTGTTTTTCTCTTGAAGAGAGAAAAACAAAAAAAACCCTATTCTTTTTATAGCGATAGGAAGAATCATAAACACTCTTTCTCAGTGAACAGAGGGCACAAAGAAAATGGGAAAGTACATGAAGAAATCTAAGATAGCAGGGGACATAGCAGTCATGGAAGTTTCTCATCAGTCAACCTTGGGTGCTCGTACCAGATATGCTAAGACCCTAGCTTTGCAAAGACTCCAAAAAACAAACCCTTCTCCTTCACCAGTCCGACTTGTCGCGTCAACCCCAGATGTCTCTTCCCTTTCTTATCTTCAGTTAAGGAGCCGTAGGCTGGAGAAGTTGCCTTCCCCTGTTTCGTGTGAAACCAAACAGAAACGGCAGGAGAAAGAGAGTAGTTGCAGAAAAGAGAAGAAGAATGGTGAGAACAAAAGTGAAGCGTGTTTTGGGAAAAACAGGGAAACGGTTGTGGGAATGGGGATTTGCTGTGAAGCGGAGGAGGCTTCTTTTGGAGAGAACAATTTGGATTTTGAACTCAGAGACCGGTACTTTTTTTTCCCTCCCGTGCTTTCTTTCTTTAGTTATTTTCCTCCAATTTTTTTTTTGTTGGCTTTTGGAGCTTTTCAGCATTGCATTGTTGATAAAATTAAAAAAAAAAAAATCTTTTGGGTCCTTTTTCTTATGCTCTTTGGGGCCTTTCATTTCTCTTTCATTGCCAGTCTTTGGCTAAAAGTGAGAGAAAAAATCATAGGTTTTGAGAGTTATGAAAATGTTTTAACTCTTCTGTCTATTCTGCTAGTTTACATAGGTTTTGAGAGTAGGCTGCTTCCTGGACTAAACTATTGCAAAAACTCATAAAAGAAATGTCACTGAAACAATATCTCTGAGTTTCTTCATGTTACCTGATCATGAAAGTAAAAAGTTGTTAGTACATCATCCATTTTCTTCCTAACAAACCTTTAACTTTTTGTGTGTGTGTGTTTTTTTTTATTTTATTTCACTTTCTTGTGATGCATACAAGTCATTACATAAAAAGTTACTGAATGCTTGTGACTTTTGAGACTTTATTTTTAAATGAGAAATTGACAATGTTGCTGAAACAATGTTTTCCTCCTCAAAGTCATTATTGTTAGAACTTACATTTTCCCATATGGTAAAAGCTGCAATTTATATTAGTAAAATATAATGTTCATTCTCTGGTGTTGCTTTTGATTTATGAAAATAAAAATAATAAAAGATGCTTTAGATTTTGTTCGTCATATGATTAAATAGTTTTAGGTGCATGAAATTTTTAATAACTAGAAAAAAAATTAGGTTCTATATTGGAAATTGGGAAATACATTGTACCAAGAGGAAAAAAAAAAATCCAGATTGTTTGATCTTCGGAGTAAGAAATTTTTGTAATTTTAGGCTTTGTTTGTCCTTTTTCTGTTAATAATGAAGTGAAGAAAAAGGGGTGAAAGATAATATTTTAGTAATAATGGACAGCAATAACTGTTCTGCCTCATTTGTGTTTGCAATGATATATCATCTTCATGGGGGGTCTAGTTACAGACCCAAACATGAATATGGGATTCTCTGTGTTGGGTCTATCAGTAAGTGACAAAAGGTCCCAAATTTCTTGCTTCTTATGCATTTATTGCCTTGCTCCCTGACAAATTTAAGTTTGTCTCTTTCAAGTGCCTGTCCCTTCATTATGAGTTTTTCTCCCACTCTAATGGGAAGATTAATTTTGTTTTTGTTTATAATTAAGAGAGTTATTAATATCTAAAATGAGTTTTACTTTGCTTAGCAGAAACTTAAAGAAAAAAAGGAGGGTGTTGTGTTCACTTGTAGGGCAAGTTCTATGCATGAACAGAAGTGAATATTGTATGGTTTTTGACTTTAAAGCCTTTTTTCTTTTTCCAATGACTGTTAGTGTCAGAAATTTTCGTGCTTGTGTTGGTGTTTTATTATGATGTTATTTCATTCATATAGGTAATTTGTGGTACTTTTTTATGCAGGAGCACTAGAGAAAGCACACCTTGTAGCTTGATGAAGGATTCAGAAACCATTGCAACTCCTGGTTCGACCACAAGGCGGAGAAGCTCTCCTTCAACTCAACCAAGAGGGTGGAATGATGTGCAGAGATTCATCTCTACGACGCATGAAATAGAGGAATTTTTTGCTTGTGCGGAACAACAGCAGCAGCAACAGTTCATTGAGAAGTAAGCTTGTTTCATTCCTTTATATTATTTGATGTTTTCTGGCATGTATTTGCTTTGTTATTGTAATTTAGGATATTGGATGTTTTCATTTGGAATGACTTTAGACTTAAATAGATTGGTTAGCTGAGCAGGCAAGTCTTATTAATATGCTGGATTTTGCAGGTATAACTTTGATATTATGAACGATTTGCCTCTTCCAGGACGATATGAATGGGTGCAAGTGATACCATAATCGGAGCCCATTCAACTCTACTCCCTGAAACTTCCTGATTAATTTCATGCGCAAGCAGTGTGGTATAACATTCCCATTGCTCTTTTGAGTTAATGTAAAGATTGATTAAACCTTGGCTAAGATGTGTAATTTAAAGATCTGTAACATAACAGAGCTGATGAATTGCACTAACAAATTACATGCCTGAAATCCTTTGTTAAAAGGAAAAAGAAATAATCTGTTAGGAGTACATCATGTTTCTAGGTTTTCTTTTCCAGTCTTTTCTCCATGTAGTTTCACTTTTGTCTATACTTGGGTAGGGATGAACATGGATGATCTCTGGAAATAAATATAAGTCATTGTCATTTTAATACCTTGTCTTTTCCCATGTTTTTGTACCTTTCAATAATATCTGTGAGATAAAACAGCATTACTTACCTGCAATTTGGATTTAAGTTTGGCTGCTGGAGATCACAAGATGTTCTTGGGAAAAAAAAATCAAAATGTCTTTTCTCCTTCAATTTAATGTTTTCGAAGACAATTGTACAGGCAAGTTAGATTTGTAACCACAAACCAGTTTTGTAGTTTTAAATGGTTCAGTCCCAGACATGCTTTATTATCATTCCAAACATTATGGCCCAGAAAGAGATTTGAATTCCCTCTGCAACCCCTTTCTTTGATTTCCTTTATGCATGTTTAACAAGAAACTCACCCCTTTATGTTTGGACAAATGGGATTCAATTACAAATACCAGTAACCTGTAACCCTAGTGGGCCATTGAAGCAGTCAGGGATTGTTAAGTGGTAGATTGTATCTTACTGGAGGACTTCGGGTTCTCTGCTATTTCTGACAATATTGTTTGCCTTAACTTTTGTTTTTCCTCTCTTTGTGGTGAAGCATTAATTGAATGTACATGAATGCAGAAGACCTTTGTGTCACATGGGATACTGCACGGCTCTACAGAGTTTCTAGTGTTATGTGTTCAACCTTAGATTTGATGATGTTTCTCTTTTTTCCATTTCTATGCCTGTGAGTGAATGCAAATGCAATGCATCTATTCATTCATTACCCTGTGGAAGACTGGAATTTGCAAACTTCGTTAGGCTGGCAGGTCAACCAAATTTCATGCTTTTGTCTGTCCACTGTCCTGATTTTTTATTTCTTTTTGGCTGCACAAGACAATAAATTTAAGCAAATACTAGTTCTAATTTATTGCAATGTTTCTTCAAGGATGTCTTAAAAATATTTTAGACTCGCTGTAAATTCTATATAGATTGGGGTTAATATGAAAGTATACAATCATCAATTAATAATCAAAGAATTCAAATTTTAATTCAGTTAATTTATAAAATTATTTTAACAATATAACATCTAATAAGTTTAAAGTTTATGTAATTTTCTTCTTTCTATAAATTAAAATCTCTTTTAAACCAAAGAAATTATCATCAAAATATGTGTCTCAAAAGCTCAAAGATTACTATCTTGAATCCACAAAGACCAATTTGAAATCTGAATTATTGCTTAGAAATAATATACAAAAGGTTTCAAATTACAATTATTTGGTATTGACGCAGGCTTAAAGTAAGTGTCTTCAGTGATGCAACTTAGATTTGGCATTTATTGGTAGAAGAGATCTGGAAGATGTTAAAAATAGTAATTTGAGAGCATTTGATTCATAGCTCCTTTTTCATGAGCAATAAGCTAGCTAAACATGTCAACGCAGTAAAAAATTTCCAAATGATCTTGGCTGTGCCGATTTTCGCTAATGAGGGAAATATTTATTTTATCCTTTGAAACTAAAAATGCTCCTAACATTAAGTATTCAAATTAGCAGTGTTTAAGAAATCAGAAAATCCCCACCATAGACTCCATGGCAGGGAACAGTAATGTTCCTATTCCTATGAATAAGCCATCTTGCTGCAGATTATTTCATGGTTTTACAGGTACAAGATCAACATGGGCAGCGAACCGAGGTTTTTTCTTTTGTTCTTTCTTCTATTATCTGCTAAAAAGCAAAAGGCTTTTCTTTTTTCCTTTTTGCAGCTAAGAGGAAAAGTGCGTGGCAGACATACTCCATCTCTTGTAATTAAAATAAAGAAGACAAATGTTACTTAGGGACCAAAAAGGGAAACCAATAACGAATCACTGCTAACTTGCTTCGTGTAAACATATATATATATATATATATATATATCAAAATCATAATGAGTTAATAACAGTGCCAACAAGGAACAAATGCTGCAACCATTTTGATTTACAATTCAAATGTCTTACTTAAGATCTTAGTTTGCAATCAAATATGCTACTAACAAAATATGCTGTATTCGGCTTATGCTTTTGTCTTCATTGGGGCATTGTTTTTCAACAAAGATATAGTAAATCATTTACAGTAATACTAATTTCACCACTCATATCTTTTCAGTTAAAGGGTGAGGAAGATGGACTGAGGAGGAAGAATTGATGTGTTTTTGCTGTTTCTGCCTGTCTGCCATTATTCACATTCGTAGAGCTAAAACAAAACACGACAACACAGTTATACGAGGAAGAAATAACATTCCTTTTTAGCAAATTGGTCAAAAACCAGAGGAGGAACATGGTTATATCCCCATTCAGTTTCTCGTTACCATAGCATACCAGATATATGTCTACATAGAGTGTTAAAGAGTGCTAAAACACTACTAGAACTAATATGTATCAATGATCAATCTAATTCATCCTCAACCAGCCTCCTCCGGGTAGATATATGGTGAAACGTCCCAGTCATAGCTCCTCCAGGGCAGCAAGAGAGAGCTCCACATCGAGTCTGGCTTGGTTTTTCAATGTAGTCTCATGGTAAAGCTTGCACTTGCTTTCATCCCCAGTAGTCTCCATGCAAAAGCCTCCGAGATTGTATCCTGAATGACCAAGGATGTTGCCAATGGGCCTCAATTTCTTCTGTGTCGGGTGATATACTAGCATTAGAATTGAGTGCAATTACACATCATCACCAAACCACCAAGAACACCAACAAAAAACAACATGCTGGGAACATTACCAAACTTTTACCAAGTGACCATGTTGTCACTTCATGTCCTTTAGGAACAGTCACAAGAGGATCTAGAAGCCATGTGACTATTCCCTCTGCTTCCATTTTTCTGATGTATCCATCTAGGTCACGCAGCAAAGGACGACTCAATTTGATTATTATCAGTAAGTTCCCCCTCGCTTGCTACGGATTTTGTACTTTGCATATACTTATAATATGGCCTATATCTGGAGCTTGAGTCAACTGCTAAGATAGCGAACGAAGCATGGTTCAAACTTAGTTGCAAATGTTCCATATAATTATCATTAGTGAATGAAAGAGCCGTATCTTTGTCTAAACAAAAGCACATTTGGCACTGCATTAGCAGTCATTGTTCAAACAGAAAGCAACTAGAAATGAAACCGGCTAGAAAACATTGTGAACTTTATAGTCGGTTTTCCAAATGAAAACATAATTCAATCAGATTTATCCTAATTCCTGACAATTATGCATAGTACAGAACTCGAATATGATATATTATATTTCAGTCAAAACATTTGTATCATTAAACTAAAAGATTTAATATTTTCAAGGATGAATTCAGTTTATTAGAAAGCAACCAACTATGATATATTGCATAGCTTGAATTGAGATAGATGAAAATGCCATAATGGTACCTTTAGAGCTTTTGGGTTTTGGGCATGCTGTAGATATTCAAATTCAGAGCTTTCCTCATCCACAAACAGCAAGTGAGAAAACCATAGTACAGTTACAATGTGTACTTCTATAGGGTATTGGAGTATGAAAATTCTCATTCCCATGTCCACAGTACTGAAGGAATCACATTCCTCAGAAGTTCAGGATCAAGTTACACAAACGAAGTAAGAAATCCAGGACCATCATTGGTGCCAAAAAGTTAACATCCTTGCATTGTGCTCTCAATACCAGACAATATAAATGCAACATCTCGCCTTCTTTTATCTCCACATGACATCAATCAGTTTACCAGTACTGAGCTTAGCCAGCTCTTAGGACAAGAAAAGTGACACATATGTTAAGAGTTTCTAGTTTATGCTTTCAGCCATGAAAAACAATAAACAAATTGAATGAGTTGATGTGGGAGAGCTTTTCAATTTTCATAAGATTTTTTGTTTATGCTAAACAAAAAAAAAAAAACATATATATATATATATATATCTGCCAAACGTTTGACTGATAAGCTATTATATCCGCCAATAAAAGATTTCACTGAAACCTTGTTTCTACTCTGCATTCTGCTTCTCTTTATACCACATAAATTAGACACTAAATTGTAAGGTGATCTAAAATATGTACCAAGAGCAAAAGACAGTTCTTTATACCAAAAAAGTTTTGAGTTTCAAGACACCAAACCATGTACTGCTTAAAGAACTTGGACTGAAAGAAACAAATTAATCTTTAATTTGCCAAGTTACATAATGATGGCCACTCTACATTAAAGAAAAAGACCCTAATTAGTAAATCTCCTCCCAACTATATGTATAAATATAAGTGATTTATTTTACTTTCATCTAAGATATCGTTCTTTTTTAGTAGAGTTATGTTGATAACTAACCAATGGATCCACCAAAATTCCAACTCATAATTTGCTTTGCTTCATGGCTAGATTCATATGGAAGCTTATTGAAGACCTCTTCACAATATCCAGAGATCATTGCTGCCATAGCTTTTGTAGGATCAATTCCCCTTTGTTGAAAGTAAAATATCTTATCTTCACCAATTTTGGAGGTTTTGGCTTCATGTTCAACACGAGCCGATGGGTTTTTCACCTGCCACAAAATGAAAAAACATGAAATGCTATGTTGTGTGAAAAGGACTAATAAATACATCATCAATAAGAATATATGGTAATGTTGGATAAAAAAATAGAAATCATTTACCTCAATGTAAGGATAGGTGTTGGCAGCAGCATTGTCACCAATAAGCAATGAGTCACATTGTGAGGAGTTTTGAGCCTTGTTAGCCTTGGACAAAACTTGAACAAGCCCCCTATAACAATTCTTTGAATTTCCAGCTGAAATGCCTTTTGAAATAATCCTACTTCTTGTGTTTTTTCCCTTGTGAATCATCTTTGATCCTGTGTCTGCCTGTTGATAACCATTCGTTAGTGCAACAGAATAAAATTCACCTACTGATTCATCACCCTCTAAAACAACACTTGGGTACTTCCATGTGATGGCTGACCCTGTCTCCACTTGTGTCCAAGAAATCTTTGAGCGAGCCCCAGCACAAACTCCCCTTTTTGTAACAAAGTTATAAATCCCTCCCTCGCCTTTCGAATTACCAGCATACCAATTTTGTACTGTGGAGTACTTAATCTCAGCATCTTCAGCACAATACAACTCAACTACTGCAGCATGAAGTTGGTTTTTCCTAGATTCTGGAGCTGTACATGCCTCCACGTATTCTACAACACTTCTATCATCAACAATGATAAGGGTCCTCTCAAATTGACCAGTTTCAAGGGCATTAATCCGAAAATAGGAGTTGAGTGGTATAGGGCACTTTGTGTCTTTAGGTATGTAACAGAAAGATCCATCAGAAAAGACTGCAGAGTTTAAAGCTGCATAATAGTTATCACCAGGAGGAACTACTTTCCCTAGATACTTCCTGAGTAAATTCGGGTACCTGTTGATTGCCTCTGAAATTGGACAAAAAATCACCCCAGTTTCTTGTAATGCTTGATTGCGAGTTGTGGCAATGGAAACACTATCTAAGATGACATCAAAAGCCCCTTCATGGTTCTTGTCATTCAAAGGGACACCAAGTCTATCAAAATCTCTAAGCAAACGGTCTTGCTGTTGTGTGTCAGCAGTTTTCATGAACTTGGGTTCTGAATAGTAACATATGTCTTGTAAATCAATAAGAGGGTATTGATTATCAGACCACTTAGGCTCCTTCAAACTGAGGAATTTGCGAAAAGAAGATAACCTAAACTCAAGCATCCAAAGTGGTTCTTTCTTCATTGAAGAAATCAATCTAATTGTTTCCTCTGAAAGTCCTTTAGGTATTGAAAAGGACTCAATGTTAGACACAAAACCCCACTTATAACCACGTTGATTTTTTAAGAATTCTTGAGCTTCACAACAACCAGCAACAGCATCTGGTTTTGCACAAAGAAAAAACCTAGACTTGCTTGGATTTGACAATTTTTTTAAGGTTACAAGTTTCGGGTGAGATTGCAGCTTCAATGGCTTTGTAGGTTCTGAAGGTGAATGGGTGTAGTGTCGTGAACCATAGATGACACCCAAGTGAGAAGCCATTGCAATGCAAAGTGATTCAAAAAGACAAGAAATTACAGCAACGTTCTACCAACCCTGAAAACGCTGAAACAAAAAGATTTTCTAAGTTAATAGTTCTAACAAGAAAAGCAATATTGGACAAATAAAAAACAATGATCTCAAAGATATCAACAGCACTTGTAGGATTAGGTTTAGACTATGTCTTGTTCTTCGTTGACAAAATTTACCTTGCTATGTGTTTGGGTGACCAAGCATGGATTGAATCGTTTATTTCTTCCTGCTAATATAATAAGACCACCATTCTTAGAGTTGGAATCCTACTTTATTTATGATTCTATAATTCTCATCTTATAGTTAAAATGTAAAAGATAAAAAAAAGATAAAAGAAGTTAAAGGTGTATCCAAATCCATTATGTTATGTCTCGAGATTGAGATATAACACGATCATATTACTTTGAAATAAAATCTTAAAGCAATATGAAGCTTAATCTATAACCATTGAAAAATCTTCAATAAAATAAGATTCTCAAAAAATTTTAATATTTGTAAAATAACTAAATAATAAGTTTTCAAATCGTCAATGTCGAATTTTATAACTAAAAAAAACAATACTTCATAAATTTCTATTCACTAAGCAATTCTTCAATGCTCAGATTCTTTTAGCTCTTCATAAGACTAATTATATTTATCATTCATATCATTTGTAAAAGACAAGAAAATAAAAAATGAGCAAACCACAGTTCAGTAAATATAAACTCACACACCTTATTTGATCAAACATCATTTTTATACGAACAATATAGATCATTATAAGACATTCATCAAATCATAATATCAAAAACAATTCAAAGATCATCATTTTGTCAAACATTTTATAAATTTATAAATAAATATCAAATATATTAATTCATAAATTATTTTAAATATGCTGTCATTCAATATTGTAATTAAACCAAATCATAGATCAATCTATAAAAATCATCACAAATCATCATAAATCATTAGTTCATTATTAGTTATGTCACTGTTATAACCCGTGATATTAGTCGTATTGACAATTTTATTTTCATAATCATTGCTAACTATTATAACCCGCTAGCCAACGCTTTACGCTAATTATTATAACCCATTAGTAGGGTCATATAATTATGTCTATGCTAACTACTATTACCCATTAGCTAGGGCTGTAAAACTAGTTCTGATGTCGATGATCCCACTTCCAAGGAATATAAAAATGTAGCTAATATAAAATCATTCTTTAAACATAAATTATTTTCTCATTTCATTCATAAGTATGATCCATCGTTTATATAAAGAAATACAAAATAATCTTATGCTTGATCTTATTTTCATAAATCGAAAATAATGAAATAAAACATTCATTTTATTTAGAAACATATATATATTTAAAAACAAGCAGAATGTGTGAGATTTTACTTTTTTTTTTATTTTACCACTTAATATTTTTTCCAAAATAATTAATGGCCTATTCAAGATATTTTCAATATAACAAAAATTAATCAACCCATTTCAAGACCAATGATACCAAAAACAATTAAGTTAAGCAAATGTTAACTCAACTAATTAATATTGACAACCTCAACTCCTTTCACTAAAATAACTATATCTCAAGATATTCAATTCGGAATTAAGATCTTTTTAATGTGTTAGAAACTAGACTCGATAAGCTTTCTAACCATATATGGCCCATCTCATGATTCTTTGTAGATTAATTATAATAATTTTTGCAATCCACGTCATATGTTGTTGCCAGACAGCATGTATACATTCTAATAAAAATTACACATTTATTCATAGAAAACTCCAAATTCAATACTGCTTATTTTGTTAGAAAGTAAACTCAATAAGCTTTCCAAAAATATATGGCTTAATATGTAATTCCATGTACAAAAATTAAGAAAAATTTCGTACTTTCTCCTTGCTGCTGCTACTAGGCAGTCTGCACATCTTTAAGTAAAAATTAAACTACTTTTCATAGAAAACTCGAAATTGACTTCTGTTTATTTCATTGGAAAGTAAATTCAGCAAGTTTTCCAACGATATATAATAATCATGGCAACATTTTATCTCTTAATACAGAATATTATTTTAATCAATCACTGCAAACACTAGGGTTTATACAAAACAGAAATTTTCCTTTCTAACCCCATCAAATTTATGTTTCATATGTTTACAATAATAAAATCATATTACTAAACTTTCTCCACACTTTATTAGACTCTAATTAAAGTCTAAATGATTTACCCAAACTAATCTTAAAGATGGATAATGGATTTCCCAATATTTTAGGGTTTTTCAATTATAAGTTAAACATCAAAACTTAACAATCAATATTATTTCTCTAAAATTGAAGAAAATTATTTACTCACCTCTGAAAGATAATTCTCCTTGTAGATTTTGCTCTCAATCTTCACTTGAAATATTTTGAATTGTCCTTTCTGTATAAGAAAAAGAGAAAAATAAGCCCTTTTTTTTCTTGATGTCAAATAAGTGATAGATGCTAACCCTATTAAAAGTTTGGTTATTTATGAATAAGTCTAATGTATTTTTCATTATTTATTAAAAAGTACCTCCACTTATAAAAATACTTAAAATAATCTTCTTTTTTACGGGTATTACACATTATGGGTCACGATTCTAGTTCTGGATATCAATTTGGAGGTTATGGGTGGACTTAGCTTGATTCTAGTTTTTAGAGTGAAAAAAATTGATATAAGATTTCCCATATAAAAGCCACCTATAATGAAATTGGACATCTTAGAATCAATTTTCCTTTTTTTCTTTTGGGGAATAAAATTTAAACTTTAATTACTACTGTTCCATACCCCAAATCCTTGTAATATTTTGTTGAATTATATAGAGCCATTGATACTTACCTGAAAGTGTGTATGTTGATGTCTTCATTTTTTATATCTGATTTGTTTATTATTTGCATAAAACTAACATGCAATGAGTTACTCAAATTAGTTTATCTCATATTGAGAAAAGAAAAACTTGCTGCATGTCACATATATTTCTTGCTGGTTTAATGAACCAACATGATCATTGGTTCCCCAAAAGGGTAGAATCTATTCCAGGAACAACCAAATTTAGATTTATTTATTATTCATTCATCTATAGTAATGATTGATTTCTACAACTTTCTAACTTTCTAAAAATGCATGTTCAGGCTCATCAGGTGTTACTAGATGCAGACAGGAAGATTTTTCCAACATTTGGTAACTACTGTACATGGCTTAGGCGCTGCTGTCATTGATTTCTTCTAATGCACTTCGGCAGCGTCTCCTGTTGAAGCTGACCTGCAAATGGAGTCTTATCAATTAGTAAATATGAAGGAAACATGACAGTGGACAAGAGACGCTGAGAGCAAATATATTTTTTTCAAAGTTGATCACAAAATTCATGGAACGAATAGGGTCATTCCTTACTATTTTTACGCTTAATAAACGGGTTTACATCTGGGAAAACTATGGCCAGTTTTGTTTTACTTTGTACACTATGTGAACTCAGTGGACATTAACTCGCTTGAGTTGTCCACTTTCCATGCAGACATGGTACTCTGAAATTTCAAAGATTCTGCATCAACACTAATAATCACTTTGTTCTTTTTATTGGAGAAAAAAGCAGACTCCTGTTTCCTCACTTTCGGGAATCACAAATGGAAATTTACTATAAGAAAAACAGCATAAAGCTGTTATTGACCAGAAGATAGCTAAACAAGCAAGGAGACAATAATTATAAACAGCCAAATTGAAATGTGACACACCTTAGAAGATGAAGCTGACGGAGGTAAAGAAGTCAATCGAACACGCTCCTCTAGCTGCTGAAATTCTTGAAGCTGGTTCACCAGCTCCTCAATGTGTTTCAATAGGGAATCTACCCTTTACGTCTGATCTGCATAGAAAGTCAACTTCTCTTTTTCTCCTGGCACTATTCGTAACCTGTTTCTAAGGTGTTCAATTTCAGTGTCAATCTCCAACCTCTCATTACTGACTGCAGAAGAACTATTCCCCAAGTCATATAGCATGGTTTTGTGATCTGAAGCAGAAAAAGTTGGCAGGTTGTTTCTTTTCTATTCTCCTCCTTTGGAATGTCTATTTTATCATCAACAACATGGACATCACAAATAGCTGGTTCCGTATCAAGTGTGGAATCATGCTGATTGCTGCCTAGTGGCTTCCTGATTTCTGCATTTCTCTCGAGCCCTTCTGCACATAAAGAAGTTTTCTCAAAGGCAGTGAAATTTTGGGCAGTTTTGGTTGCTATTGCTTGGCATACTATGGCATCATCATCTTGTCCTTCTCGTTTCCCTGCTAAATTAACAGCCGCAGTATGACTTTTTTTCCATTCTGATGAAGTCTCATTTTTTGAAGGCCAACATTTTTGCTCGTCTCCTAGATTATTCATCTGCCTGTAAGCTTCAACTTCTTTCTCCAAAAGGTGATTCTCCTTCTCCCTCCTAACAAGGATCTCTCTTAGAATGATCATCTCTTCTTCATCATAAGCAAATTTTTCTCCTATCATCCTTTGATATTGCCTTGCTTCCATTTCTATTGATGCATTATCCTCTTGCAGACGCAAAATCATTGCCATGGCTCCATCAGCAGCAGAAGCAGCAGCAGGACTTTCTTTCTCCAACTCCAGGTATAGAGCAGCAAGTGTAGCTTTTTCTTCTTCAAGAGCTTGTTCCAACATGTTGATCTGAATTGCTTCATCTCCAGTAATCCCTAACTTTTCATTAGTGTTACAAGTGAATTTTCTTATAAAACTTGAACCTTTTTCCTCACCATTGCTGAATTCACTAATTTCACTTCTTGTTTCACCACCATTAAAATAAGAGGAACATGAAACACCTGCAACAGCTGATGGGAAATTACCAGACACCAATACAGGAGAGGATTTTCCATAGCCAAAAGCAGATCTCTTACGTCGTTGAATTCCAGACTTCTGCTTCTGATCTATAATTTTCTTTCCCTTTGCATCATATCCACTCTTTTTATCCAGCATAGTTTGCAATCTTAAAACCTGAAGGTGAACTAGAACATGCTTCATCCTCCAATTCAATTACCCCATTGCTAAATTTTCCATCTGTAATGAACTTGGCATTCGAATTCCACTCTTGATCGTTGAACCAAACGAAGTTAAAAGGGAACCTATTCAAAGCCAGCTTTGGAACAGAATAAATCTTTCTTGTTGGCCATTGAATGAGCAGATTATGCCAGCACAGTTTGCTATTTTGGTACCCAAAAAACCCAGAACAAGGACACGGCAAGAGAAATCCAAAAACATGATAAAATTTCCAAGCAAAAAACCCCAAGGTTGATCCTCATAGAAGGAAATAAGCTACGGCAAGGTCAAGAAAGGCTCTAATAAGACCAATTAAGGTCCATGAAGGAATTGTAAGGGAAACCATTAAAATTTGAAGAGTTGAAGATCCCCAGAGAAATGAAATTCTGGTTAAAACCCAAAAAAAAAAAAAAGTTCTGCAGTAATTTGGTGCCAAGAAGTAGCCCTGGAAAAACAACCCACCATGAGAAAAACAAAGACGACACGGAATTCTAGTCAGCTTCATGAACAGCACATGAAGAATAGGAAAAGTAAAATAGTGAAGTCCAAAAACACAATCAATTCTTAGGATCAAAAAAAAGTAGCGTAGTTTCCAGGAAAAGTGAGTAAAAACCTGGATTTTTACAGGGAATTGAGTTGATCAGTTACGGAGGTGAAGTGTGAACTCATGCGTTCAGGAAACAGCAAGAGAAGTTGGGTCCCAGAATCTCAACGCTAAGAAAGCCACGAGAACAAACAAAGCTCGGAGAAACTTCATGGCGTCAGACAAGAATGAAAGGGCCGTCAGTTTCCAAGGTTTTTAGAATTACGCTATTGGGAAAGTGGCTATATCACATCTATTGAGGATTTGCCTCACGTATGAACAAACTTACCGCTGTCAACTGCATTTTGCTTGTCTTTTTATATTCTCCGTTGTAAGACCAACCGTGTCGTTTAAACTACGTCAACGTTTTGTTCAATTTTAGACTCATATGCATTCTAAGAACAATAGCCCCGTTCGTATACAAACGAAATCACGGTGCGATTAGGTCATTTTTTTTTACCAACGGTTTTTGGATGCAATCAGACTTTTAATGGGGATCGGTCGCCATTCAAAACCGTGCCTACCGCATGAAGAAGTCCTTGCAGTTGAAGGAAGGGCAGTACCACTGTCTTCAGGAAGGGCAGTAGAACACCAAGAACACTTCAAATTCTGAACATGTTGCTGCAACTGTACATTTTAACTATTAGTGGATTTGCTTGAAGTTCTGGAGGTTCAGATGAATTATGCTTAGAGCATAAGATGCAAGCTCTTCATAAGTTTCCGGGAAGGACTTCTTGACTATGGAAACCTTGTTTCATGGACAACTGGAGAAGATTGATGCAGATAAAAAGGTGTTTGAGTGTGACAATCAAACTAGCCACGTCAGCCTGCTTGATCTCCCTCCTATATTCTCATACTTGGTCTTGATAGCATTAGCTGGACTCCGATCGATAGTGAAATAAGCTCTTCCTTGCTTGACTTAAGGAATTTGAAATACTTGGATCTTAGCCAGAAATTGATAATAAACACGACTTATAAACTGCCTAGAGGCTAAGACCAAAATCCAAAATCCAAAATCGAAAGCAATTGCAATCGTTTTCTAATGCCATGTATCGACTCCACACCAAGATCAACGGTCACAACATATAAAATTCCAAAACAATAGCAATACTAAGAATGTTAATGCATTGACTAGTGATAGTAATATATCTGAAATATATTGAAAGTATCCTAAAGCCAAAAATAAGAAAACAGGGCAACTCAAGTTTCAACAAATACCCAGCCTCCACACCTCCAGCAGAATAAAACAGTCAAATACATACAGATAACCTTAACAAAATTGTAAGAAACTAACTAGCCACAAGAAACTCAGAACTTAACAGGGGCAAGGCTGTCTAGTTGAGAGCCACGTTTCTCCTCCGCAGTCTTCTCAGCTTTTATCCTAAGCTTGTTCAGCTGCTTCTTCCTCTCATATGCAACTTAAGCCCTCTCCTTCCTCTTCTTCTGCAGCTCCTGAAGTCCACAGCATAGTTAGAATTTCAAATCTTCAAGGTTAAAGAGAATGACTCAAGCAAAATTTAAAGAGACAACCCATAATACATAAATAAAGGCACTTGACATAATACATATGACAATATGATTCGCATAAGGTTGCCTTGCAATGCAAGACTTGCATAATTCTTATAATTAACAAAAATAACAAAAGGGTGATTAAATCAAAACCAAATCAAATTCCTCAAAAGGTAAAGTAGTTTTCCTTGATGCAAGTAAAATCGATTGATCAAGTGTTATCCTCAACCCTAAGTTAAATAATGCTTGTCTAAAAAATTAAGGGTATATATGGATTGAAAGACAGAATAGCAAAGCGATAAGATGAAACTCACCCTGATGGTGTCGTAATGGTTCCATCCAACCTCAGATGATAAGTGGCCCAACAAGCAGTACTTGTGACCCTTCTGTAGCCTCAAGACACTAATTACATTTTTAAAACGTAGCAAAAAAACATTTAGAACAAAAATTAGAGGATTTCATTACAATAAAAATCAAGACAGTAAAGAAACCTACTTAAGAGCATCAGGGATGACCATCCTCTTCATCTTATCATATGGGGTAGGAACACCCTCTTAAGCCTTCAAACAAGCAAGGGCAACGGCTCCACTCATAGTCTTATATGGTATTATTCTGCAAATGTCATTGATGCGTTTGGGTTCAGTTATAGAAACGAAACAAGACATAAATCATGGCAAACCGATTTCACTTAAGGTCCGGATATTCCAAAATCTGTTAAAATAAAGCCAAACCGAAAAAAACAAATAAAAGACAAACTAACCCCATCGGTGGGGGGGGAACGGAAATGGATGGGACCGTGAGAAGGCTTGGTGTTCATGCGTTTGCGGAGGAATCTCATGTACTTCATCTTCTGGCGAACGAGTCCGCCTGACATGCAGATTTCCTCGCATCTGACTACGTCTACTTTCTGGCCGTTGAGCAGCTCCTTGGCCACGATTGAAGCCAACCGTCCCAGCAAGTGGTGGCGGGCATCCACCACCTCTTACTTCGCGCATACCCCCGATCCGCTCACCATTGTTTTGAACTTTTTGAGCTTCCCCTCTGCCAGTCTCTCGTGAGAGCCGCTAAGAGGAGAAAAAGATGGCTTATATATGAACCACAGTTTAAGTTGATAGGGCTCTAGTGTGATTCACTTTAAGTGGGCCTTTAATTGCGAGGATGCAGCCCAAAAGATAATAGATTAAAAAATTGTAGGCCCAAAAAATTTTAGTATGAAGAAAATAAAATATTTATATATAATGTAATTTTTAGAATATTTGATATTTATAAAATAATCATAATTAAAATTATTTTCATGTCAATTAATAATTTTAACGGTTATTAAAATTAATTAAAAATATATTAATAAATTATTTTTATAAATATTTTAATTTATTTAATATTTTAAAATCTTAAAAAGTTTATTTATTCAAAATATTGACATATATTATTTTATATTAAAATTAATTATAGATTTATTTATGTACTTATTTAAAACTTTTATTATTTTTTTTATTATACAATTATATAAATTTATTTATTACTTTAAATAAATAATTAATTAAAAATATTTAAATAAAAAAAATCAAGAAGAGGTAAAATCGAGAAGGGTATATATTCACTTAGTGTAGATTTTATATTTTATATTTTTATTACAATTAAATTTATAATTAATTAAATCAAAGTAATATTTATAATTTTAACTATTTGAATAAAAATAAAAAATATATATAAAACTTGCACTAAATCCCTATTCCTCACAATGAAAGCATGGTTTTCTACTAAATCCTTTAAAAATCAAACCAACCAAATCCCAACCAATCCCATCCTTCATTTGCCATCTCGAAGTCTAACCAACATAAGACAGGTGACTGATGACACAACTCACCCTCAGTCTTTGCTTTTCACCAACCTCATAGTCAATCGATTTCTCTTCTATTGACCTTACTAACTAAAAACCACTCTCTCTAATTTCCTTTATTATTATAATATTGTTTTTGTCAAAAACCAAACAAACTCAACCTGTGGGTTATGGCAAGTGGCAACCACAAGACAGCAATAATAAACGTAAGTGTAGTTTGATCAATTTTGCTCTTCTTCCACGAACAAGCAAAAAAATATATATATATCTTAAGAGTATTTAAAAATCTCATTTGATATTTTGAAGAGGTTTTATCGTCGAAAAAATATTTAATTATTTTTTTGTTAAAAATATATCTAATTATTTCATTATTTGGGTCAAATTAAAAATATTTTCTCTTTTTAAATTTCTAATTTTTTCACCATTTGAGTCTATTAAAAATTTTTTTTTATTATTTTCTTGAAAAGAAAATAATATGACAATTATTTTTATTGAAATTTCATCTAAATTATTCCATTATTTGAGATAAATTTAGAAAAAAAATTTTCACCTAAAGATTTCTTAAAAATTTACCATTTTAAAGTTTTAATAATCTCATCTTTGGATAATTATAAAATATTTTCAACTTAAATTTTTATTTAAAAAAGAATACGATTACTTGTATTGAAATTTCATTTAAATTATTCTATCATTTGGATCAAATTTAGAGGAAATTCTTCACCTAGAGATTTCTTAGAAAATTTACCATTTAAAATTTTTAAAAATCTCATCCTTGGGTAATTTGTATTTAATTTCAAAAATTTTATTTTTTTTATGTTTTTTTTTTATTTTTTTGTTTGAAAATAAACATTAATTATTGTTATTGAAACTTTATCTAAATTATTCCACCATTTGGGATAAATTTAGATAAAATTTATCACCTAAAAATTTTATAAAAATTTTTCACCTAGAAATTTTGTAAAAATTTACTATTTGAAATTTCTATAAATTCCATCATTGGATAATTAATATTTATTTTCAAAATTTATTATTTTTCTTTTTATTTTTTTAAAATTTAATCATGCAAAAAAACCAAAAATAAACACAAAAATAAAATAAAATAAATCGATAAAATACTAAAAAAACATTTAAAAAAAACCAAAAAATGACTTGGCTTGTAGTTGAAGTAGCTCGGCTTGAAGCATAAAAAACGGCTTGAAGGTGCGACTTAGGAGACATGACTTAGCTTCAAGAATCAACTGGTAAATGGGTTAGAAGTGGGTTGGCACTCGAGACACGTCACCCGAATGGAGAACGTGCAGATCATGAGTCTTCTTAAAAACCAAAATAGCATTGTTTTGATGAGGCTATAAAAAGCTAAGTTTCAACTCTTCCCCTCATATTTCTTCTTCCCCTTCTCTCTTTTCCCATTTTTTTCTCTCATTTTATCTCTAACCAGATGAACTTCGATTGAACTTCAATCATATTCTAAAAAAAATTATCATAATCTAGGTTAGGTCACCGGACGATCGTCGAAAAATTCAACGCTTATCGAAATCTTCATTAGATTCTAAAAAACCTTGCTAAAAAATTCAACCGACGCTAGAAAATTTTGCTAAAATTTAAAAATTTTTCAAACAATTTCCAAAAATTTTTTTATAAAAAAAATCCAAAAAATTTTGTTTACTTCCTACTTTTCTCTGTTTTTTTATTTCTACTCTTTGACATTTCTGTTTCTCTCTAATTCGTGTAAGATCTTTTTTGTGCTTCCTCGTATGTTATGTTTAAGGCTGTATTTATAAAACCAGATAAGAAGAGTTTATGATCAATTAAAAATTTCCCTTTAATTAGGTTTCCAAATTATCAGAAAACTTAGAAATTATTCTGAAGAGATTGAAACTAAATGTAAGTCTGCCTTTTTTCCCTTTTTTTTTTTCTTTTACTAATATCTTGTTATCTTAAAATAAAATAACAAAGAGTTAGGCCTATCTACTTGGACCCAATTGAAATGGGTCCAATCGGCTTAGGCTCGAACCCTATTGAACTAGGCCTAATGGGCATGAGCCGGACCAATTAGGGTATCTACAAACATGAAGCAAACTTCTTTACATATGCTAGTTCATATAATAAATCTGTTTTATAGCATAAAATGATTGGACATTTCAACTACAATGCATTAAATTTCATGTATAAAAATGATCTTGTATTAAACATGCCTACTGTTGAAGTTAGTGATAATGTGTGTGAAGTCTGTCAGCTAGAAAAATAAAGTAAGTTGACATTTGCAATTAACAAAGCATGAAGGGCAATTGAAAAACTACAACTTATTTATACTGATGTTTGTGGTCTTATGAAAACCTTGTCCTTGAATGGTAGTAGATATTTCATTGCTTTTATAGATGATTTTACCAGAATATGTTAGATTTATTTCATGAAACAAAAGTCTAAAGTTACAGATATATTTTGGAAGTTCAAGGCTTGGATTGAGAATCATAATACTTGCAAAATCAAGATCATAAGGTCAGACAATAGTACTTAATACACATTTGATAGATTTAATAACTTTGTGAAGTTGTAGGAATTAAACTTCAACTTACAACAACTTACACTCCACAACAAAATGGAGTCAGTGAAAGAAAGAATAGAATAGTCATAAAGATGGCAAGATGCATGCTATTTGAGAAAAATCTTCCCAAGAAGTTTTGGGTAGAGGTAGTCAATATCTCTGTTTACTTGCTTAATAGGTTGCCCACAAAAGCTTTGAAGGAAAAAACTTTGTTTGAAGCTTGGTATGGAAGCAAATCATCAGTACAGCATTTCAGAGTTTTTGGCAGTATCTGTTATATGTTTGTTCTTGATATCAAAAGGGATAAACTTGATTAAAAAGCAAAAATCTATATTTTTCTAGGCTATAACAACATCACTAAAGGCTATAGGACTTACAATCCACTTACAGGTAAGATGATTGTAAGTAAAATTGTGAGACATAATGAGCAAGTTGCTTGAATTAAAAAAGTCAAAGGGAAAATCAGTCAATCAAACTGTTGTAAACATGACAAGCTTTCAAGATAAAAAAGATTATATGTTTGAAAATGAAATCATTGATCATGAACCAGTGAGAGAAATTAGACCACTCAAAAATATTTATCAAAGATCAAATGTTGCCATTCTTAAACTTGCAAACTTTGAAAAAGCTATCAAATTTTTAGAATGAAGGAATGCCATGAAAGAGGAGATTCCTATGATTGAGAAGAATCAAACTTGGATGCTTGTTGATAGACCAAACAACAAAAACATCATTGGTGTTAAATGGATTTTCAGAACAAAGTTGAATATAGATGGTTCCATCAACAAACATAATGCTAGATTGGTAGCTAAAGGCTACTCTTAATAGTATGGTGTTGATTTTTCATAAACATTTGCTCCAGTTGCAAGGTCAAACACCATAAGGTTGCTATTAGCCTTAGCAATTAGAAAAGTTGGAAAATGTACCAACTTGATGTCAAATCTACTTTCTTAAGTGGTTATCTTGATGAGAAGATATATATTAAACAACCTGACAATTTTGTTGCTAAAAGAGATGAAGGGCAAAGTTTATCTACTCAAGAAGGCTTTGTATGGATTAAACAAGCTTCAAAAGCTTGGAATTCCAAAATTGATGATCATTTGTTAAAGTTAGGATTTAATACATAAGCATTATCCATCGTTTATATAAAAAAACACAAAATAATCCAACACTTATCATAATCAAAGTCTAAATGATTTGCCCAAATTAATCTGAAAGGTGGATAATAGATTTCCTAAAATTTTAAGGTTTTTCAATTATAAGTTAAATCTCAATACTTAACAATCAGCATTATTTTTTCAAAATTGAAATAAATTATTTACTTACCTTTGAAAGATAATTTTTCTTATAAATTTTGTTCTTACTTTTCACTTGAAATCATTTGATTTATTTTTCTATATAAGAAAAAGAGGAGAAATAAGCTCTTTTTTTTTTCTTGATCACTTGTTGGCTAAACAACTAGTAGATGTAACTCTATTAAAAGTTTGGTTATTTATCAATAGGTCCTATGCATTTATTATTTTTTATTAAAAAGTCTCATCACTTATAAAAATACTTAAAATAGTCTTTTTTTTTTTTTTTTTACAGATATTACACATTATGGGTCACAATTCTAGTTCTGAATATCAATTCGGAGCTTATAGGGGGGCTTGGCTTGATTCTTGTTTCTAGAGTGAAAAAAATCGACATAGGATTCCCCACATAAAAGCCGCCTATAATGAAATTGGACATCTCATAATCAATTTTCTTTTGGGGGATAAAATTTGGACTTTAATTACTACTGTTCCATACCCCAAATCCCTGTAACATTTTCTTGGACTATATCGAGCCATTGATATTTACCTGAAAGTTTGTATGCTGATGTTTTCATTTTTTATATCTGATCTGTTTGTTATTTGCATAAAACTAACATGTAATGAGTTACTCAGATTAGTTTATCTCATATTGAGAAAAGAAAAACATGCTGCATGTCACATATATTTCTTGTTGGTTTAATCTTGACAATGAACCAGCATGATCATTGGTTCCCCAAAAGGGTAGAATCTATTCCAGGAAAAACCAAATTTAGATAATTCTTCTGTCCATTTGACATTTATTTATTATTCATTCATCTATAGTCATGATTAATTTCTACAACTTTCTAACTTTCTAAGGAATGCATGTTCAGGCTCATCAGGTGATACTAGATGCTGACAGGAAGAAGCTTTGCAAACTGATTGATTTCCAAAAGCTCTCACATGAAGCTGGGGCACATGCTACCGAAAATGAATGACTTACCCTCCAATCAATAGTCCAAGTTCTTTATTTTCAGCAGTTAAGGCTACGAAATGCTTTGTCCTGCTCTCATGCTGATGAAGACCACAAGCCGGCGCATCACCAGTCATGGCAGATCAGTAGTGGTGCACTCATTGCAGCAATGGCTCCAAGAGACAACTATGCATCTTTGAGGCAAGAAAATCGAGAGCTAAAACTTGTGCTTGCTTGGCTGCGGATAAGATTAAATGATTTAGAGAACGAACATGTTCGTATGAAGAGGGATATGGCAAAGTCTCATTCTCATAAATTTATGAGTTCTTTCTCAAAGAAAAATGGTAAACTAAGATTCTTTGGACATAGTTCTTCAAAAGGATCAAGTACTCCCCCGAGGCAGTTCTACAGAACAGTTCTAAGATGATTGAGAGGAGATGTGCAAGCACTGATAGGTAATCAAAATTACATGGGTTCTTTTCCCTGTATTTATTGATCAAAGCCATATGTTTTGCTGATTTTCTCTGATGAGAGAAACATTCATTTTATCCTTTGAAACTAAAAATGCTCATACCATTAAGCATTCCAATTAGCAATGATTAAGAAATCAGAAAATCCCCACCATACACTCCAGGCAGGGAACAGTAATGTTCCTATTCCTATGAATAAACCATCTTTCTGCAGATTATTCCAAGGTTTTTTCTTTTGTTCTTTCTTCTCATTACCTGCTAAAAAGCAAAATGTTTTTCTTTTTTCCTTTTTTCAGCTAAGGGGAAAAGTGCTTGGCAGACATACTCCATCTCTTGTAATTAAAATAAAGAGGACAGATGTTACTTAGGAACTAGAAAGGGAAACCAATAACGAATCACTGCTAACTTGCTTCGTGTAAACGTATATATATATATATATATATACATATATATCTATATATATATACATATATATCTATATATATCATAATGAGTTTATAACAGTGCCAACAAGGAACCAATGCTGCAACCATTTTGATTTACAATTCAAATGTATTACTTAAGATCTTAGTTTGCAGTCAAATGTGCTACTAATTAATATGTTGTATTCGGTTTATGCTTTTGTCTTCATTGGGCCATTATTTTTCAACAAAGATATAGTAAATCATTTACTGTAATACTAATTTCACCACTCACACCTTTTCAGTTAAAAAGGTAAGGGAGCAGGACTGAGGAGGAAGAATTGATGGGTTGTTGCTGTTTCTGCCTGTCTGCCATTATTCACATTCGTAGAGCTAAAACAAAACACAACAACACAGTTATACGAGGAAGAAATAACATCCCTTTTTAGCAAATTGGTCAAAAAACGAACGGACGAACATGGTTATATCTCCATTGAGTTTCTCATTATCATAGCATACCAGCTATATGTCTATATAGAGTGTTAGAGAGTGCTAAAATACTACTAGAAATAATAAGTATCAATGATCAATCTAATTCATCCTCAACCAGCCTCCTCCGGTTCGATATATGGTGAAACGTGCCAGTCCTAGCTCTTCCAGTGCAGCAAGAGAGAGCTCCACATCGAGTCTCGATTGGTTTTTCATTATAGTCTCATGGTAAAGCTTGCACTCGCTTTCATCCCCAGTAGTCTCCATGTAAAAGCCTCCGAGATTGTATCCCGAACGACCAAGGATATTGCAAATGGGCCTCAATTTCTCCTGTGTGGGGTGATATACTTGCATTAGAATTGAGTGCAATTACACACCATCACCAAACCAAACAACAACAAAAAACAACACGCTGCGAACGTTACCAAACTTTTTCCAAGTGACCATGTTATCACTTCATGTCCTTTAGGAACAGTCACAAGAGGATCTAGAAGCCATGTGACTACAATTCCCTCTTCTTTCATTTTTCCGATGTATGCATCTAGGTCATGCAGCAAAGGAGGACTCAATTTGATTATTATCAGCATGTTCCCCCGCTCTTGCTTCGGATTTAGTACTTTGCATATACTTATAATGTGGTCTATATCTGCAGCATGAGTCAACTGCAAAGATAACGAACGAAGCATAGTTCAAACTTATTTGCAAATGTTCCATATAATTATCATTAGAGGATGAAAAAGCCATATCTTTGTCTAACCAAAGCACTTTTGGCAGTGCATTAGCAGTCATCTTTCAAACACAAAACAACTAGACATGAAAACGCCTAGAAAACATTGTGAACTTGTCAGCCGGTTTCCAAAATGAAAATATAATTTAATCAGATTCATCCTAATTCCTGACAATCATGCATGGTACAGAACTTGGTTATGATATATTATATTTCAGTCAAAGCATTTGTATCACTAAACTAAAAAATTTATTATTTTCATGAATGAATTCAGTTTATTAGAAAGCAACCAACTATGATATATTGCAAAGCTTGAATTGAGATAGATGGGAATGCCAGGATGGTACCTTGAGAGCTTTTGGGTTTTGGACATGCTTTAGGTAATCAAACTCAGAGGTTTCCTCATCCACAAACAGCAAGTGAGAGAAGCTGTTGTAGTATTCCTATAAACAGAAGTACAGAACCACAGTACAGTTACGATGTGTACTTTATAGGGTATTGCAGTATGAAAATTCTCATTCCCAATTCCACAGTACTAAAGGAATCACAGTCCTCATAAGTTCAGGATCATGTTACACAAACAAATTAAGAAATCCCAGACCATCATTGGTGCCAAAAAGTTAACATCCTTGCATTATGCTCTCAATATCAGACAGAACATACATACAAAATCGTGCCTTCTTTTATCTCCACATGACATCAACTAGTTTACCAGTACTGAGCTTAGACGGCTCTTAGGACAAAAAACCCACATATATATTAGAGTTTCTAGTTTATTCTCTCAGCCATGAAAAGCAATAAACAGATTGAATGAGTTGATGTGGGAGAACTTTTCAATTTTCATAAGATTTTTGCTTACCTGTTCATGCATCCTTGATTGCAGGAGTAGAGGGTGCCGAGCCACATAAAACCTGGTCATGTCCTGGAGATATTTTAGCTGTTTAAAGAAATAAGTTTCATTGTTGATGGCACAATCATCGTACCTGTTAACATATGACAATTTAACAACTGTTAATATATGTTACTTGTATATCTTTAATGAATTCATCTTCCATACATTGTTGCAACTTGCATGGAATTGTATAGGGCTAGTACAATTACCTCTTCCAGCCAATATTTAGTTCCTCTTTCCAGTTGGTAATATCATACTTGTGCAATTGCTTGAGCAAGGGATAAGAAAGCTCAAATGCTTCAGCCTCCAATCCCATGTTACAGATCTACAAAAGGACCAGGAAGTAATTTTTATAGAATATTGGATGAACTACTAAAATGTTGGGTTACTTGTTTTACAAGTTATTAACATACTTTTACTACCTTGCAAACACTCGTTGCTAATAGGCTAGGTACAGCCATTCCCAGCACTTGAAGCAACAAGAAATTCCGACACAGTTTCTCCTGTGCAAACCACGAATGTATTCCCCAAAGAAGCCTCTGCCAGAGATTCTTTGAGAGCATTAATCGCTTCTTTTCTGATGGAGCAGCTCATGACAGGGAATGGGTTTTTCTTGGGAGTAGGGAAGCTCAAGGTCTTCAACTGAACGGCTGGGGGTTTTAGAAAACAAGCCAGTCCACTTACAAAAGCTTGACTCTTAAACACCTTCGAAAACTCCATATCTACAGCACATGAAGACAACAAAGTTAACACATTGACAAGAAAATGTCGTGTAACTATAAAAAGAAAGTTCAAGATTTTCTTTTTCATTATCTTTTTCTTGGGGTTTAGTATTTATTTTCCTTCACATTTCCAAGAAACAAACACACCCTAAAAGACTTGGGAAAGAGTAAATTATCGACTCACCTCCTAAATCTTGAAACTATCAGAGAACTATGCTTGGAGAGTGGAAAGCAGTCAGCAGCTGTTTCTAGAAAATAAGAATTGTTCTAAAACGTGATATTCTTGATCATTAATGGGTTACTGCAACTTCCTGAAAGTAGTTATTTCGCTCCTTTCGGATTGAATCTGAGTTTGTTGTTTCCTAACGACTTTTCGAGCTTTATCAATTGAGAAGCTTTTAGGAATTATTTTAATAAACTACTTTAGCCTTTTTAAAAAATCCAAAAACCATTAATTTAAATTTAATTTTTTATAAAAACCTTAATAATTGTTGCTTTTTGCTATGCAATTTTTTTTACCAAACCATCTTCTTTCTTGTACTTATATATTATTGAAGCATTAAAAAAACGCAATTAAATGTTTAAAAAAATACCACTAATTTAATGGTGATAAATTTTCAATATTGTTGGCTGTGTTTTTTCATAGACCCTGCTAGCAGTTTAAAATGCCGCTAAACAATACAAAAAATGTTTGCTAAAAGTCCCAATTGATAAGCTATTATATCCACCAACACAAAATTTCATTGAAACCTTGTTTCTCTGTATTTATTGCTGACCCTTTATGTTAAATTTGTTTAAAAAGTTCTTTTAATCATTATCTGGATAATGAGATGGGTAATCTCTTACCTTATTACTCAATGCAAAGATAGCTTTAAGCCTCTAACCAAGGTACAGAAAATAACCATATAAAATCAACATGCAGGAGAATAGTGAGATAGTGAGATTCATCATTCATTCATTCATACATCCTTCATTCATTCATACATCCTTCAGACGAAAAGTTTGACTGCTAGACAAGTTTTAAGATTACCAACTGAGCAAGAAAAGGTAGTTTTTCCAACTAAGTGTTAAGGGAAAAAGAAACAATATTAAATCTTACAGAGAAGAGAGGGCACTGGGAGCTGGTTGATGGGCAGAACAAGCACATATTCATCAGAAGCAAATATTCCCACAATATATGACAGTTCCAAACAAATTTAAACTAACATATCTTATTGTGAAAATTTTGTCCAACTTTCTCTTATGGTCTCGATGATTAAGCCGATGATTTGGTATAGAAGTGGATGCCGAAGGCCAATCCCAAGATTAGCAGGGGAACAAGGAACTGAAGAAGCTTTATAACAAATTCTGAGGTCTTGTCCTGGTCATAGTGAGGCTGTTTGGGAGGAGTGTACTTTGTCTTGGTGGGGACGGTTGGTGCATCGATGTCACAGACATTAAACTCATCCATCATTGCTCTAGCACTGCTACTATGCCAACATCCTAAAAATCATCAGTTGCATCCTTCCCTATCAACTATAAATCAAACCAAGGTTATTTCCATTTTTTCATCTTCTAAAATAATTGCCACTTTAAATTATACAAAATAAGTAAAAAAGTTATCATGTCATCCCTGTGGCAGACAACAAGACCTCATTACCACCAGGATGGTTTACCAAGAATTTAGTCACATTGTACACCTGTTCAAACATAAGATTATTTTGATATCAGGATTATTTTGATATTTAAAGCTGAACCTTACTTCATGTTACTACAAGTTCAAATATGGTTCAACCCCATTAAGTTTTGTTGGTACAACATAACAGCCCCTTGAAATTCATGAAAAGAATCCTAACCAAAATATTCATGACAGTTTCTAGGGTTATGGATAATATTAGTACTAACAAGAGATAAATGAATACAAAAAATTCAAGTTGTTCTCATCCAAAAGCCATCTACCAATGCAGTGAATATGATACTATCATTACTACAAAGCTCGTTCATTCTTCAAGTATAACCAATTTAGAACTCCTCAAACAAACGGAACAAATAGTATATTGACACGTACTCAGCAAATTAGAGGAAAAATAAACACAATGGCGAATCTCTCTTATTGAAAATCATTACCAACTACCAAGAGAATAAATTGTACAAAGTCCATCATACAGATTTCATCAAAAATAGTGCATTTAAGGGAGAAAATAAATCTAATGGTAGCTGCAAATCGTATCAATGGTCAAAACCACAAATCCGGATTAAGCTAATTAAGCAAATCCAAGGAACTCAATAGCATAAGGACTATTCTGACGTGCAGCTCTAGCAATCATCAGGATCAAAAGAAATTGTGAGATCTAAGCAAAATATTGCTTTTGACACTGAAGATGATCAATTTGAATCTGACTTATCAATCCACTAATAAGAGGAAAATTGAAAATTTCTTTCAGTTTCATTTATTTATCGTATAGGAAAGATGGACCATGAAGTATCCAGAGCTTATAGATAAGTCAAATATGCAATGAATATAAGCAGTCAGCCTCAAAGAGAGATCCATCCACATGGATTCAAAACTTCTTATGATCAGAACCACACAAACAAGAATCAAACAAACAAGAAAATCGGCTACTAATCAAATAAAAGAACAAGAGGCTTCCCAAGATCCAACAATAATCAAAACTTGAAACTTCAGAATTAAACTAAAATGCCCAACTTTTGCAAAAACATAAACAAAAGAAACCATTTTTAAACCAAAAAAACGCAACTCCAAATTAGGTAAACACCAAACCGGATCATCCAAGAAATTCTACCCAAAAAAAAAAAAAAAGTTGTACCTTGCCCTCAATTACAAGCCAACAGTCTTTAGCATTGTTGTGTTGAGAAACCTCAGCCAAACTGTAAACCTTTCCCTCTCCACCCATTGTTTCCCTTCTCTTTTGCTTGTTTAAGGAAGAAGAGCAGAGACTTGTTGATCAAACTAAACTCGGGATTATTGTTGCTGCCTTGTGGTTGCCACTTGCCACAGCGCACAGCGCACAGGCTCAGTTTGTTTGGTTTTGGACAAAAACAATATTATCAAAATAAAGGAAACCAGAGAGAGTGGTTTTTAGTTAGTAAGGTCAATAGAAGAGAAATCGATTGGCCGTGGGGTTGGTGAGGAGTGAAGACTCAGCGTGAGATGGTTGTGTCACCAATCACCTGCATCATGTTGGTTGGACTTCGAGATGCCAAATGAAGCATGGGATTGGTTTGGATTGGCTTGCTTTGATTCTTAAAAGATTCAGTAGAAAACCAAGCTTTCATTGCGGGGAATGGGGATTTAGTGCAAGTTTTATATATTTTTTTTATTTTTATTAAAATAGTTAAAATTATAAATATTATTTTGATTAAATTAATTATAAATTTAATTGTAATACAAAAATAAAAATATAAAATTTACACTAAGCGAATTTATATTCTTCTCGATTTTATCTCTTCTATTTTTTTTGTTTAAAGATTTTCAATATTTATTTATTTAAAGTAATAAATAAATTTGTATAATTGTATAATAAACAAAAAATAATAAAAGTTTTAAATAAGTACATAAATAAATCTATAATTAATTTTAATATAAAATAATATGTATGAATATTTTGAATAAATAAACTTTTAATATTTTAAAATATTAAATAAATTAAAATATTTGTAAAAATAATTTATTAGTATATTTTAAAATTAATTTTAATAACCATTAAAATTATTAATCGACATGAAAATAATTTTAATTATTTATTATTTTATAAATATCAAATATTCTAAAAATTGCATTATAAATAAATATTTTATTCTCATCATACTAAAATCTTTTGGGCCTATAGTTTTTTAATCGATGATCTTTTGGGCTTCATCCTCGGAATTAAAGGCCCACTTAAAGTGAATCACACGACAAAAACCCTAGCAACTTTAACTGTGGTTCATATATAAGCCATCTTTTTCTTCTGTTAGCGGCTCTCCAGAGAGACTGAGAGAGGGGAAGCTCAAAAAGGTAAAAACAATGGTGAGCGGATCGGGGTTATGCGCGAAGAAAGTGGTGGTGGATGCCCGGCACCACATGCTGGGACGTTTGGCTTCAATTGTGGCCAAGGAGCTGCTCAACGGCCAGAAAGTAGTCGTAGTCAGATGCGAGGAAATCTGCATGTCAGGCGGACTCGTTCGCCAGAAGATGAAGTACATGAGATTCCTCCGCAAACGCATGAACACCAAGCCTTCTCATGGTCCCATCCATTTCCGTGCCCCCGCCAAGATCTTCTGGCGCACCGTTCGCGGGTCAGTTGGCCTTCTTCTTTTGTCCGTTTGGTTTTATTTGAACTAATTTTGGAGCATCTGGATCTTAAGTGAAATGCGTCTGCCAAGATTTGTCTTGTTTTGTTTATATAACTGAACCCAAATGCATCAATGACATTTGCAGAATGACACCACATAAGACTAAGCGTGGAGCCGCCGCCCTTGCTCGTTTGAAGGCTTATGAGGGTGTTCCTGCCCCATATGATAAGATGAAGAGGATGGTCATCCCTGATGCTCTTAAGTAAGTTTCTTTACTGTCTTTCATTTTCATTGTAATGAAATCATCTGATTTTTGTTCTAAATGTTTTCTGCTACGTTTTAAAAATGTAATTAGGGTCTTGAGGCTTCAGAAGGGTCACAAATACTGCTTGTTGGGCCACTTATCATCTGAGGTTGGATGGAACCATTACGACATCATCAGGGTGAGTTTCATCTTATCGTTCGGTGCTTTGCTATTGTCTGTCCTTCAATCCATTTATGCCCTTATTTTAGATAAGCATTATTCAACTTAGGGTTGAGAATAACACTAGATCAATCGGTTTTTCTTGCATCAAGGAAAATTATCAGGAATTCGACCTTGGATTTGTATTGTTACATACTACTGTACCTTTTGACCAATTTGATTTGGTTTTGATTTAATGACCCTTTTGTATTTATTTTTATTAATTTAGTTTTGTTTAAATGACCCTTGTGTATTTATTTTTATTAATTGTAAGAAATATGCAAGTCTTGCATTACAAGGCAACCTTATGCGAATCAGATTGTCGACATGTATTATGTCAAGTGCCTCTATTTATGTATTATGGGTTGTCTCTTGAATTTTTGCTTGAGTCATTCTCTTTAACTTTGAAATTTTAAAATTAATAGATGATAATTCTGCTAAAATTTTGTTTCTAACTATACTGTGGACTTCAGGAGCTGGAGAAGAAGAGGAAGGAGAGGGCTCAAGTTGCATATGAGAGGAAGAAGCAGCTGAACAAGCTTAGGATAAAAGCTGAGAAGACTGCGGAGGAGAAACTCGGCTCTCAACTAGACGTCCTTGCCCCTGTTAAGTACTGAGTTTCTAGTGGCTAGTTAGTTTCTTACAATTTTGTTAAGGTTATCTGTATGGATTTGACTGTTTTATTCTGCTGGAGATGTCGAGGCTGGGAATTTGTTGAATCTTGAGTTGCCCTGTTTTCTTTTTTTTGGCAGCAGGATACTTTCAATATATTTCAAATATGTTACTATCACCAGTCAATGCATTAACACGCTTAGTATTGCTATTGTTATGGAATTTTATATGTTGTGACCATTGATCTTGGTGTGGAGTCGATACATGGCATTAGAAAACCGTCGCAATTGCTTTGTATTTTGGTCGCAGCCTCTAGGCCGTTTAGAAGACGTGTTTTATTATCAATTTTTGGTTAAGATCCAAGTAACTTAAAAGCTGAAATCTTATGCTCTAAGCATTTTTCATATGAACCTCCAGAACTTAAAGCAAATCCACTAATAGCTAAAATGTACAGCAACATGTTCAAAATTTGAAGTGTTCTACTCCCCTTCATGAAGACGGTTGTGCTTTGGGAACATATAAAGATATAGCTCAAAGCCTTCAACTGCAAATAAAGACGGTTTTGAATGACGACCGATCACCAGCGAAAGTCCGATTGCATCTAATCGCACGGTGATTTCGTTTGTATACGAACGGGGCCTTGGTTCTTAGAATGGATACGAGTCTAAAATTGAACAAAATGTTTGACGGTGTCTAAACGACACGGTTGGTCCTACAACGGAGTATATCAAAAAGACATAAGCAGAAAGCAGCTGACAGCCGTAATTTTGTTCATACATGAGACAAATCGTTAACAGATGTGATATCGTCAGCCATTTTCCCAATACCGTAACTCTCAAAACCTGGGAAACGGACGGCCCTTTCATTATTGTCCGACGCCAAGAAATTTCCCCGATCTTTGTTTGTTCTCGTGTCTTTCTTAACGTTGGGATTCTGGGCTTCTCTTGCTGTTTCCTGAACGCATAAGTTCCCACTTTGCCTCCGTAACTGATCAACTCAATTCCCTGAAAAAATCCAGGTTTTTACTCACTTTTCCTGGAAACTAGTCTACTTCTTTTGATCCTACGAATTGCTTGTGTTTTGGGACTACACTATTTTTTTTTCCCTTTTCTTCATGTACTGTTCATGAAGTTGACTAGAATTCCGTGTCGTCTTTGTATTTCTCATGGTGGGTTGTTTTTCCAGGGTTACTTCTTGGCACCAAATTACTGCAGAACTTTTTTTTTCTTGGGTTTTTAACCAGAATTTCATTTCTCCGGGGATCTTGAGCTCTTCAAATTTTAATGGTTTCCCGTACAATTCCTTCATGGACCTTAATTGGTCTTGTTAGAGCCTTTCTTGACCTTGCTGTAGCTTATTTCCTTCTATGTGGATCAACCTTGGGGTTTTTTCCATGGAAATTTTATCATGTTTTTGGATTTCACTTGCCGTGTCCTTGTTCTGGGTTTTTTGGGTACAAAAATAGCAACCTCTGCTGGCATAAGCTGCTCATTCAATGGCCAAGAAGAAAGATTTATTCTGTTCAAAAGCTGGCTTTGAATAGGTTCCCTTTTAACTTAGTTTGGTTCAACGATCAAGAGTGGAATTCAAATGCCAAGTTCATTACGGAAGGAAAATTTGGCGGTGGGGTTATTGAATTGGAGGGAGAAGCATGTTCTAGTTCACTTTCAGATTTAAGATTGCAAACTATGGTGGATAAAGAGACTGGATATGATGCCAAGGGAAAGAAAATTATAAATCAGAAGCAGAAGTCTGGAATTCGACGACGTAGGAGATCTGCTTTTGGTTATGGAAAATCCTCTCCTGTATTGTTATCTGGTAATTTCCCATCAGCTGCTGCAGTTGTTTCATGTTCCTCTTATTTTAATGGTGGTGAAACAAGAAGTGAAATTAGTGAATTGAGCAATGGAGAGGGAAAAGGTTCAAGTTTTATAAGAAAATTCACTTGTAACGCTAATGAAAAGTTAATTATTACTGGAGATGAAGCAAATCGGATCACAATGTTGGAACAAGCTCTTGAAGAAGAAAAAGCTACACATGCTGCTCTCTACCTGGAGTTGGAGAAAGAAAGGGCTGCTGCTGCTTCTGCTGCTGATGAAGCCATGGCAATGATTTCGCGTCTGCAAGAGGATAAGGCATCAATAGAAATGGAAGCAAGGCAATATCAAAGGATGATAGAAGAAAAATTTGCTTATGATGAAGAAGAGATGATCATTCTAAAAGAGATCATTGTTAGGAGGGAGAAGGAGAATCACCTTTTGGAGAAAGAAGTTGAAGCTTACAGGCAGATGAATACTCTAGGAGATGAGCAAAATTGTGATTTGAGTTATACTTTGGGGAAAAGGCCTTCAGTTTCACTTGGTTTATATGAAGATCCGCTGATAATCGTGAATCAGATTGGGAATGGTGGATCCACTGGAAAGAAGGAAGTGGGAAAACGCTCTGGTTGGCCTTCAAAAAATGAAACTTCATCAGCCTGGAAACAAAGTCATACTGCGGCTGTTAATTTAGCAAGGAAACGAGAGGGACAAGATGATGATGCCATAATATGCCAAGCAATAGCAACCAAAACTGCCCAAAATTTCGGTGGCATTGAGAAAACTTCTTTATGTGCAGAAGGGCTCAAGAGAAATACGGAATTTGGAAAGCCACTAGGCAGCAATCTGCATGATTCCACACTTGATATGGAACCAGCTATTTATGATGTCCATGTTGTTGATGATAAAATAGACATTCCAAAGGAGGAGAATAGAAAAGAAAACAACCTGCCAACTTTTTCTGCTTCAGATCACATAACCTTGCTATATGACTTGGGGAATAGTTCTTCTGCAGTCAGTAATGAGAGGTTGAAGATTGACACTGAAATTGAACACCTTAGGGACAGGTTACGAATAGTGCCAGGAGAAAAAGAGAAGTCGACTTTCTATGCAGATCAGACGGAAAGGGTAGATACCCTATTGAAACTCATTGAGGAGCTGGTGAATCAGCTTCAAGAATTTCAGCAGCTAAAGGAGCGTGTTCGATTGACTTCTTCACCTCCGTCAGCTTCATCTTCTAAGGTGTGTCGCATTTCAATTTGACTGTTTATAATTATTGTCTCCTTGCTTGTTTAGCTATCTTCTGGTCAATAATAGCTTTATGCTGTTATTCTTACAGTAAATTTCCATATTGTGATTCCTGAAATTGAGGAAACAGGAGTCTGCTTTTTTCTCCAATAAAAAGAACAAAGTGACCATTAATGTTGATGCAGAATCTGTGTAAATTCATAGTACCAAGTCTGCATGGAAAGTGGACAACTCAAGTGAGTGAATGTCCAATGAGTTCACATAGTGTTCAAGTAAAACAAAACTGGCCATAGTTTTCACAGATGTAAATCCCGTTTATTAAGCATAAAAATAGTAAGGAATGATCCTATTCCTTCCATGAATTTTGTGATCAACTCTGAAAAAATTGATTTGCTCTCAACGTCTCTTGTCCATTGTCATGTTTGTTTCATATTTACTAATTGCTAATACCATCATTTTCAGGTCAGCTTCAACAGGAGACGCTGCCGGAGTGCATCAGAAGAAATCGATGATAGCAGCGCCTAAGCCATGTACAGTAGTTCCCAAATGTTGGAAAAATCTTCCTTTCTGCTCGTAGGCTTGTTTCCACTCCCTTCTTAGATATAAATTTGTTGATCAAATCTGTGAAGTCCATAGAAGTTAGTTTGATGTCCGCTGCCTGTTGAAAAATTGTATGTAAACCTTGTAATGTTTTGGTCTCAATCAAATTAGATTAGCTTCATATTGTCTCCATGCGTGGATCCAATGTTGGTCACCTATAAATAAATAAATAAATACATGAATTATCAAAGCCATTTGTCATCATTCTTTTCTTCGAGTACAAAGGGTTGTCATTGGAAATAAGAAGAAACGATGAGATAAAATCGATAATTTAAAATATAATATAATGATATAATATAAAAATAATATAAATAAATTATATAAAAATGATATGAAATAAATTTTTAATAAAAATTATAAATAAATTTAAAAATATTTAAAATATATTTTATATTTGTGTGTAAATATAAATTATGATAAATAATTTTTATATAAAATATAATATAAATATATAAATTATTTTATGCACTCAAAGTTTCGAGATCCCCCTCTTCTGGACTTAATCTTCATTATGATTAGCTGTTGTACTCTAAAGCTAGAACAAGGTTTAAGATTTTCTGTTGGTTGACTTTTTTTGCAAATGTTAGCCCCGAGCTACTTCTTAAGATACTTAAAATTAAATTAATTATATATATTATTTTATTTTTATTAATAGAATTAAATTTGTTAATTTTAAAATTTTAATTAATTAATTAAAATTATATTTTGAATTTTATAATTTTTATATTTTAAATAAATTAAATAAATTCATCTAATAAAATATTTAAATATCATAAAAATTATTATAATTTATAAATAAAATAAAATAATTGAATTAAATTCTAAAATCGAAATATCAACATCCTTGCTAAAAAAACGTATGACAAATCCCCAAATTTAAGCCCTTCATTAAAGTGGGCTTCACTCTCTGAATCAACGCAGGGGATGGTGGTCTTATCGTAAACGCACGTGGTCGGTCTGTCCTCTTTCTGCGGATTGCTATAGTCCCACCTGCCAACCATTTCCACGTGGCACAACCTCAGTGACACTGACCTGGTACATACCAAACATTTTTATTGGCCTTCTCTTTAATAATATAAAAACAAATAAAAAAAATAAAAGAACTCCAGTTTGTTGACCGTGGACTCCACCGCACCTAATAATATCTCTTATCCCATCTCTTTTAACGGCGGTTAACGTCGAAAGCCCGCTCCTTCTCCAGGAAAGTTCCAAAGCAACGAACAAAAAACGATAAATCTTTGACGGAACCACCACCACTTGAGCAGCTGAAGCGGCGGTTTCACGCTACGTTCCGATTTCGCTCTCTGAAAACGATATTTTGCTTTTAAAAAATGAAAAAAGAAAAACGCTTTTTGACAACGACACGCTTCGGCTACGTTCCGTAGCTAACTGACCTCAAAAGATTTTAAAAAATTATTATTTTATTTTATTCTAGAAAAGATATTAAAAAACTTTTTTTTCCTTCGTTTGGAGAGAGAAAAGCCCGCCTTGTTTTCTTAGCTCAGCTTTTGATCAATATAATATATTATATATATTTATATATATAAAAGAAATAAGAGAGAAGTTGAAAATTCAATCATCCGTTTAATTTGTGTGAAACGAATGGGGTTTTTTTAAGGTATATTTGGATACGTTTCCTTTTTAATTTTTTGTTGTTGTTTATTGATGCATTAGTAAATGCCATTGAAGGCTATTTTTTTGATATTTTGTTTTGATCTTCATTTTTGTATCTGACGCGATTTAATTTCGGTTTTTTTTTTTTTTTTCTGTTTTGTGACTTGTAATAATCTTTTTTCTGCGTATGCCGATTCATGTCCTTTTTTGTCAATTTCTGCTTGAATTTCTGGTCAATTTCATCGTTTTTCAACAGCAACGAGCTGTAACAGAGAATCGTACAGATCTGGAAGATTTGCAAATATAAAAGTAACAGTGTCTCGTTATTTCTGAGATCTTCTGTGTCTGTTTGATTGTAGATACAATTCTGATCCCGGTCTCGGATTCCAATTACAATGCCTGGTAAATTATGCCTAAGTTTACTGAATTTTGATAATTGGTGATTCGTGGATTAATTTTTGTTTTTAATGATATCAGGAGAGGTAATTGCATTTCAAGAAAATGAGAGATTTAAAAATGAAGGGAATTTGGATTTCGAGACGTCCGAGGACGAGAAAAGAAGAACGGCGCGAGGGAGATCCCTGAAGAAGAAAGCGATGACTGCTTCGACGAAGCTAACACATGGTCTAAGGAAGCGTGGCAAACGCGTGGCTGATTGCAAATATGCGACGATTTCTATCGAGGATGTAAGGGACGCGGAGGAGGAAAAGGCGGTCAGAGCTTTTCGCCAGGCATTGCTTGCAAAAGATCAGCTTCCCACACGCCATGATGATTACCACACTTTGTTAAGGTAATTTAACCAACCTGTAGACTTTGATTACCGTTTTTCGGAAAAAGTTATGCCATTCGTTTGCGTGGCTAGTTAATCTTAAACTATGTTGATAACATAATGAGATCTTTCCATTGAAGCAAATCTGTGCTGTTTTAGGTTTCCAGTTATAGCTTGAATGACAAGGTACTGACCGAATAATGTGGCCCATCTCAAGCTTTGAATTGTTTGCAATTGACTTTAGGAAGAATTTATTTATGTTTATTACTGAAAATAAGTTTTCCCATTTGTTCTCAAATTTTCAAAATTTTCTTGTATTTTCTTAGAAAATTATTATTATTTCATCATCTATAATCTAGAAGGAAATTTTTGGATTGTTTATTTAAGCATGATATGTATAGGATGTGTAAGTTTTCTAGAAAAGAAATTCATAGGAATTTTCGAAGAAAAATATCAGAAATGTTTCTTGATTGCTTAATTGGTGGTTTATTGATTACAAAGAGTAGATGCATGGTGAACTCTATCAAATCATCTTCAGTTTACTTATTTTCTGAACTGCAACTGCCCCATTTGTTAAGTTTTGGGCATTTTACTAGTTTTGATGATAAAATCTTTAGCAGCAAGAATTTGAAAAAGTTATCTCTCTATAGAAGGTGAATTATTTCAAATTCTGCTTTCTAAATCAAATGTTTATGAGTAGTTTCTTATTCTAATAAAACTATGTTTTGTAACTTGGAATTTTGTGCATATTGATAACATAATGCAAATTTCTCTACTGGAACTGTGATGAAGCATGAGATACTGAGTTTGCTTTTGACTAGAAGTTCTTGAGCTGGTTATTCCCTTACTTAACCATTGATTTCCCTCCAGGCTAGACTTTCAGAACCAGTAGTCATGGAAGTGGAAGTTTAGCTCGACTTCAAATTATATTTTTGAAAAATACTTATGCTAGCATATCTAAACAGAAAAAAAAAAAATCAATATTCCCCACCCTCCCCAACCCTTCTCCCTCAAGACAAAAAGGAAAAAAACTCCATTCAATATATTCATTCATGTCAAAAATCTGAAATTTGTTTTTGTAGATTTTTGAAAGCTAGGAAATTCGACCTCGATAAAACTATCCTGATGTGGGAAGATATGCTGAACTGGAGGAAAGAGAATGGAGTAGAGAGTATCATACAGGTAAAAAGTGCTTCTCTTACCATCTTTAAACTTGGATTTGCTCGATTTTCTACTGCACTACTTATGATTAGACGACAGAGATGAGCAACTATGTGTATCTCGTTGTTTATGAAGGATGTACTGTCTGCCTTTTCTGTTTGTAATAGTTTAATTTTTCATAGTTTTAACAGATGCTATGATGCATGTGCAGGATTTTGTGTATGATGAATATGAAGAAGTTCAGCACTGTTACCCCCACGGTTACCATGGCATAGACAAACAGGGTCGCCCTGTTTATATTGAAAGAATTGGTAAAATTGACCCTGCTAAGCTTATGAAGGTCACTACAGTGGACAGATTTTTGAAATATCATGTGCAGGGCTTTGAGAAGGCTTTCATGGAGAAATTTCCTGCCTGTTCTATTGCTGCTAAGAGGCATATAGATTGTACGACAACAATATTAGATGTGCAGGGGTTGGTCAGTGCTCATAAATTAAATAGGATATGCATTTCTTACAATATCATGTTTCTTATTATTTCCTTCTTTATGCAGAACTGGATGACCTTTGGCAAGGTTGCACATGATCTTGTAATGCGCATGCAGAAAATTGATGGTGACAACTATCCTGAGGTGGTTTAATTGTTTGATTAAGCTGATGAAAAAAGATATATCTGAATTATTCATGCATAAATTCCTCAACTGTTTCTCTAACATCAGCATTCTGTCCACAGACTTTACATCAAATGTACATAGTTAATGCTGGAAGTGGATTTAAACTACTATGGAACACAGCAAAAGGCTTTCTTGATCCAAGGACTACTGCAAAGATTCATGTACAATAATATTGAAACATGTGATCATGAAGAATATATATATATATATATATATATATATTTGTACACGCTTTGTTTGACTTTTGAAGGTTGGGTTTCAACTGATCGTAAGTATTCTTTGATCATGCAGGTTCTTGGAAACAAATTTCATAATAAATTATTGGAGATTATTGATCCAAGGTTGTGATTTCTTTTGTATTATTACTGAAATATCTTACTGCCTGGTTGTTTTCGGACTTTTTAACTAAACTTGTTTGTGGAAAAATCTCCCAAGCAGCCAATTGCCTGAGTTTCTGGGTGGAACTTGCTCATGCCCTAATGATGGTGGGTGTCTTAGATCTGACAAGGGACCCTGGAATAACCCAGAAATAATGAAGGTAGGATCCTTGTCTGTGTTCAAAAGGAAAATGAATAGATAATTATAGTCTATGGGAGCACTCCTCTCTGTTCATGCATATTGATGTCTGAGATGTGCTCTAATTATTATTTTATGCCCTAAACTACAAGTCATCGCCTGTATTCTTTTTGCAGTTGATACACTTGGGAGATGCCTTGTACTTGGGGAAAACAGAAAGTTTTTCTGAGAATGACAATTTGGAAGTCAAATTTTTGTCTACTAAGGTTCTTCCCACTGACTTTTTTATTAATCAAGTTCCCTTTATCTACTGTCAATTTATCATTATTTATCTTTGCATCATGTTCCATGTTAATTGTTTCTTTGGCAGGTTGCAAGTAGTGAAATACCTTGTGCTTATGATGTGAGGCCAGATACTTCAGATTTCATGCAGTTAGCGTCACTTTCTGAGAAAGTAAGTTTTTCAAAGTTATTGGCTCTGCCCCACCGTTCTGTCTTCTCTTTTAAGTTTGATTATGAATTTATTCCTTTTAAGATTTTAGTCATTAGACTTTATAATCCTTCTTTCTTTTGTGCTACTATGGAAAAATATTATTTAATATTTTTGAATCCTTATGTCAGGGAAGGATTAGTGGTCCTAATTCTATGCATGGCATTATTGAACCAGAAAATGCTGCAAGAATTGAAGAAGCTAGTTCAACAAGTGAGTGAGCACTCAGTAATCCTTATTGAACATTGTATTTGTGTTTATGTTCTTGATTTAAATCAGATCATTCAATTCATTATCAATGCATGTTGCGGTTGTCAGATAGATAGGTGTTCCAACTATATCATATTAAATAACCATTATGTAGAGTTGTAGACAATTAAAGGGGGCATTAAAGCATAACTAGTAGCAATAATTAATCTCTGGAAGGTACAGGATAAGTTGTCTTTGGCCATGTTGAGTTTGAACTTGTATGCCCAATCAAATTTTGAAGTGTGACTCTTGAACTTTTAACAGCTGTAGTTGCTACCATATCATAGTAAATAACTATCGTATAGACCAATAAAGGCAGCATTAAAGCCAAAGTAGTAGCCCCTAATCTCTGTTGCCGTGTGTAGGACAAATGATACTCTATCAGCTATGCTTGATAGCCTGTCATTCTCTATCTGATTTCACTGGCCAGTCTGGGTTAGAACTTGTATTCACAATCAAAATTTCCAAGTTTTGACTCTTAGACTATTAATGAAGCTAACTCGTCATTATTGCATTAGAACATTATTTCCTCTTTTGCAGCACTAGAACTTCTTATGTGCAATGCTAATTTTTCCTCCTGTAAGCTAGCTTTTACATCTTAATTTGGTGCTTTTGACAGATGATGTAACTAGTGATGTTACTCCAAGAAATCTGGGAAAAAAGTTTGTTCACCATGTAATAAGTTTTGTGGTTCACTTTGTACTCAAATTGTTAGCATGTATATATTTCTTAGCCCCTGGACTGGGAAGAGTTTTGGAAACACAAGATTCAAAACAACAAAGAGAAAACCAGTTGAATCAACAGATGGCAGGTTCGGGGTCTCTGGATGATGGTATTTTGACTGAAGCAGAAGAGGGCTCACTCCATCCATGTTGGCAGAGGCTACAAAATTTAGAAACCTTAGTAACTGAGCTTTCTAACAAACCCACAAAAATTCCTCCTGAAAAAGAAGACATGCTTCTTGAGTCATTGAGTCGTATTAAATCTATCGAACAAGATTTACAGCGAACAAAGAAAGTAAGACCTCTTTCTACTATTAGTCTTTATTGCAACCAGTTTTTGTGCCTTTGTAGTTTGTACATTCTGATTACTTAACACGGACTTATTTTTTTGTAGGCATTGCTTGCAACTGCATCAAAACAAGTGGAGCTTGCTGAGTCATTGGAACATTTAAAAGAAAGCAACTTAGCTGTAAGTTCCTATTTTCTCGTGGAAAAAAGTATAAACCGGTATTCTTCATTAGGGAGATAAAAATGGGTTTTAACCGTTTAGCGTTGGAAAATAATTTGGTGAAACTAGTCTGTATTATGATTGCTTGCCTAGTCGGATGGACATTTGAACCAATTTATACTTGAAAAAAAAAAAGGCAAAAAAAAAAAAGGGTGGAAAATAAAGTTTCACCATGCTATCTCAGATTATAATCAGTCTTGTATGTTATTAATGTAGCCACAGCATATGCCTGAATAGTTGGAATTCTTGATTTATCCATTTCTTATAGCCAAAAGAAATATTTGATTTAACCATAGATGATTCGCAACAACAAAAGGTGTTAAGGAAGCTTCCACTCAGGAAAAAAAAAAAGGAGTTTTCTGTGTTGTATGTCTGCCTGGTTCAGAGTCAATATCTACCTACTTTGTCTTATACAGAGAACTAAGTTTGTTTATTGGACTTCCCAAACACCCCCTTATCTAGGTTCATGATTTTCTTCCTAGTTTGCAGAAATTTAAGGTGCAATTATTGTTGTATTAACTCTAGCATACGTAATTTTGTCTGTCATTCTTGGAAAAATATTGGCTCTAATTACTTTGAGCTAATTTTAGTACAAATGCTTCATATTTTTTTTCTTCTTATTGACTCCCAAGTACGGAATTGATTATAGAATCGAGTGCTTTTGAATATCTTCAAACAAAGTGCACCTTTTGATGGAATTCGGTATGGCATTACAGGGAACACATTCATGTTGGCGAAGAAACTACAAACCTTTAAACCCAGGAAGATGAATTTTTCTTGTTTGCTTGAACGTGCCAAGGTAGCCAACATGCGTCTTCTGTTGTCTCTCAACAATGCTATAACGGCAAGATATGGAAATCTCTTGCCTGATTCAAGTAGGTTGACTAACCCTTTACATAAGCCTCACCTCTATCTTATTCTGAATATTCTATCTCACTTCTGTTCTTGTTTCTTTTTTGTCATGGAATCGGCGCAGATGCAACACACACACAGTTGTCAAATGAATGGCGAACTACTAAAACTTTTTCTGACGACCACAGTAGTTGGAGATGTAGTTGTGCATATAGTTTTCAAGTTTCTTCACACAGTACGAATTTTCATCAAATTTTTTCCCCATTTTTTTCTCAGGCAGTTATAGAGAACAAATATTTGAGCTCACTCATTCGTAAAATTTAACACATACATTTAAAGGCGGAGGTTATGTTATGTTCAAGGTTTTTTTTTTTTTTTTTTTTTTTTTTTTAAGATTTACCTTCCAAATATGAATTTCTGCTGATGGGCCATGCAAAATATTGCTGAATGGATTGACAACCCATTTTCATTTACGTTGGACCTCAATTCAAGTCCCATCCAGAACAAATTTTACGTATCCTGATCGATTAAAATTTTAAAGAACGTGAATCCAAGGTTGAATTCACTCGCAGCATAAGTGCGAGGAGAATTTTTATTTTTTGGGTGTAACTGGATCATTTCATTTTATTTAGATGTCTATTAGTGTGGTGTAATTGAATTTCTTTTATTACACTGAAGCAATAATTTTTCACCGATAAAAAATGATTAAGTGAGCCATTAAATTGGATCATTTACTATAATATCATTATTTTTTTAATTTTGTATTTATATTTAAATTAATTAATGTTTTATATTTTACTTATTTAATATTATTTTATTAAATGTAATTGATATAAATATATTATTATCAATTTTTAAAAAATACATTATTTGACATAAAAATAATTTTTAATCATTTATTAATTTTATAAATGTTAAATAATTTAAAATTTTTATTATATATAAATTTTAATTTAATGTATTTAATAATATTTTTATTTTATTATAATTTATTTCATCATTATTATTATATTTATATATATTTCATGAAAATTGTAATCTCATTGCTACGATGATTAAACTTATCGCTACTGTTATTATCAATCTCACTATAATTAATCTCATCGATCATAATAGACCCTAAACTCAACCACCGATTCCAACCACGCCACCGCCGACCACCACCGCCACCCCTAGACCAAGCCTTAATGCCCCAAAAAATGTCATATCCATCTCCAGCAGCGACTCGAAACCCGCAAAAAAACCCCAAGCACTTCCCTGGACCCACCAAGAAACTCTCAGCCTAATCTAAGCCTACCAAGAAAAATGGTATTCTCTCCAACGCGGCCAATTCAAAGCCAACCAATGGGAAGAAGTCGCCGTAACCGTCGCCGCACCTTGAGGCCTATTCGACGACTCCGCCGTCAAAACCGCCCTCCAGTGCCTTTACAAGATGGAGAAGCTCCTCCGCCGTTACCGCTCTGAACGCCATTGCCTCTCTTCGGGCGCCACTTGGCCATAGAAGCTCTAGAGCATGGGCCTTTGCCTATCTCGGCTCGACCGTTGACTTCCTTTGTTCCAACCAGTGGAATAATTTTTATTCTGAAAATGGACATGAAGTTGGAAATAATTACTGCAATGACAACGAAAATGACTTGGTCGAGGAACAGGAAGAAGATGATGACAATGACGAATGACGATGATGAAGACAGCCGGTTTAGTAAAAGCCGCAGTATTAATTACATTTTGCGGCAGCCCACTGTGGTGAACCGGTTTTCGGGGTTCTTAAGTGGGGCCAGGAGGAAAAGTTCTGAAACTGAAGAGGATGGGGATGAAGTGACAGTTGTGGGAGTGGAGGAAGAGAAAAATGTAGTGGAATTAGCCATGGAGGTAAGGAGATTTGCAGAGAGATTTACGAGGATGGAAAAGAAAAAGATAGAAATGATGCAGGAAACTGAAAGGTTCAGAATGGAAATGGAAAACAGAAGGATTGAGATGATATTGGATTCACATGGTAAAATTGTTGATATGATTTCAGCCAGATTCAGTTCAAACAAAAGGATGAAGGTGGATGAAGATTTGGGTTCTTGAAGAATTTCCCAAGGTTGAAAACATTGCAATCCTTGTTCTATGCAGGTTCAGGTTGTATAGACTTTTAAATGGAACTGACAATTTTTCATGTGCATCTGCTTTTCATCTTTCAGTGAAATTTTTTGTCCAAGGGAAGAAGATGGAACATTTTAATAACCAAAATTAATTTGTGTCTTTTGTGTCTTGATGTTGCTGTAATCTGACCAAATGTTACGTCTTGTTTGTGTTCCTTGGACTGTCTAAGCAATTAGTTTGCTAACCTTTGAATGATTCTGTTAAGATGCTGTGTTTTCATTACTTCCATTTCACTGAAACATCTTTCTTTTGACATGCGTATCTCTTCATCACTGATTTCAGGAAATAGTATGACTCCCTGTTTAGTACAGTTACAACCATTTTTCCTATATGACCTCCTGGGCTTTTTTTTTTTTTTAATCTTTAAGTACATAGTTTATGTACTTATTTGTTGCCACGATCACCAAATTTTTTCACCAAAATTTTCTGACCTCTTTGCGTTTTACAAGTTCTTCACTGTTATAATGTTTAAGGTTTTCTATGCCTAGAATTTTTTCACCTATAGCAAGTTTTATGTGGACAAATCCTATTAAATTTCCTTTCTTTCTTTCTAACATATTGGCTCTAGAAGAACGAGCGGATTAAGCATTCTTTATTGGGAATCTCATACTGTTTACAAACAACTATTAGGAATTTGATAATTAATCAAGCCCTGAATCATACAAATAAGTAGCATTAGGAGTGGAGTCTTCAGCATCAATTGAATTTGAAAGGAGAAGCTCAACCCATTGATCTACGTTCATGGGTAGTTCTAAGTATAGCAGTTGAGCATTTGGACGGCCGATAATATATAAAAAACAGATGACTAAAACAGGAAATAATATCTTAATACCTGATTGTTTATTTAAACAGGGAAATCAAATTAGATAAAATTGCAAAGGCCAAGATGAGAAAGCATTAGAAAATGACCCAATGAAGATCAATAACATGACAGGCAGCGTGGTTGAAAGCATTTAAATGAGATGTAATACAGCTTTCAGGAGTCCCCACGACGATTGGCTGCCTTGTTCAGAGATTGAAATTTGAAACAAATCAAAGATTACAATTAGATCCACAGTGCATTTCAGGTTGCACCACATTTTACCTCCAATGAGAAACACAAAGTCTCAGGAATGAATGAAGGTTCCAAGGCCGGTGATAGGAAACCCAGCAGGCAATGGAGATGGAAAAGGATCAGCGATTGAAGACTTGTTGCATTATGAAAATCTGAGGACTGTTACAAATTACAATAATTCATTGGGTGCCCATGGCAGTGACAGATGCTGATCATTTCTAATACCACTGACCAGGAACCTTATATTCACAAAATTTCCTAAGGCTTTTTTGCCCATAACAATAATTGCTACCCAACTTGATTTGAAAGGGTAATAATACATGATGCACTAATCTACCGGGGCAAAAAGAAATAGGCCCCCTTCTGCACATTAGCAGGGAGACCATGGAAAAAGGAGGGGAAGAAAGTATTAGAAATGGGAGATGTGACCTCTGTACGAATGCCTCTATATCTGTCTCCATCTTCCCAATACTTTAAACCGGTGGTAATATACATAATCCCCCAAAAACCCAAAAACAAGGTAGAAACAAGAGGTCAAACATTTTCTGTGAATTCTAACCTGCAAATATCAAACACCTTTTTCCACATTGCAATCCCCTAATCGAGTAACCAGCTTCATCTGCATTAAAACCCACAGGTCAATTAGTGTCAACTCTCCATTCAAGGAAAGAAAAATTTACATGCCAACAAAATAAACAAAAAGGAAAAGAAAAGGGAAACGGAGGACGAAGCAGGTTTGCACAGTCCAAATAGTACACATGGACACAGCTAGCTGTTAAAAGTTAGCCATAGAAATATAATTTGAGATTTGGACCTTCAATCAAGATAGGGTGCATTGGGAAGGAAATAGTCAGAAAAGTTTTAATAAAACCAATTCAAGCAACAATGGGAGAGTGAGAGGATATAGATTATCATAATAATTTTACAACAGTATGATAATTCTACATGTTTTGATTTGCCTAGTATGCCGACCTAACATTTAATACCACTATATCACATCTACCTAAATCTGTCAATCATTATTACCTGTACACTGCTGTTACAAGGACATGCAAACCCAACCCTAGCAGGAGCCATAACCGTTAGAACTGCTCCATCCACTAGATTGCTTCATTCCAGCTTAGAATTCAAAGGCCTGTGATACAAGCTGCCCTGCACTGCTTGCAGATGCAGAGTTTGCTGTTGTGGGGGTGAATTATGCTGATCTTGTTGTAATCGTTCTTGTTGCTGGTAGTGTTGTTGAGATGGTGGCAGTGTGGGAGATTGTTGTATCCGTGGCTGTTGCGGCCACTGCACCCCAGCATTATTCCCATGAGGGGGTAAGCCACCTGATAATTGTCTCTGCCCTAACCCTTGGCTGACCAAAGGTATCGGATCACTACCAGCTGAATTTGAAAGAGGGCTCGCTATGGATCCCACTTCAGTGGCCACATTTGGCATACCAGGATCATACACAGGTTCTGATGATTTCCACTGAGAACCAACAGAAGGAGAAACAACTGGTACAGTGTTGTTAGCTGAATCAATACCGACCTGAGGCACTGCCATGGTTGTGGTTGTACCCATCTGTGAAGCACTGTTCATGGACTGTTGGTCAGCTTGAGCTGGCTCAGCTTGGGATTTGCTGGGTGTATCACAATTCACTTGTCGCTTCTGTTGAAGCATCCTTTGTACAGTAGCTTGGTTCTGATTAACCTGCTTTTGGTGTGGTTGTGATTGTAGCTGCAAATGCTGGTGGTTTGGACCCATAGCTGCTGGCAGGATAGATTGATGCACAGCTGATAGTGAATGACTAGAAGGCACTGTGGAAACCTGGCCTTGGGTACTATTATCAGAATGGGAAGCCATCTGCTGGAGTTGCTTTGTAGAAGGGGGTGTTGCCCCAGAAACCTGCTTCTGCTGCGACTGGGAATGATTCATAGATTGAGAAGAAACTAGAGGTTTAGATGGTTGGACAGGGCTCATACCAGACCCAGAATACAAGCCTTGACCTTGCATCGAGTGCATCATCTGATCCCCTTTCTCGGCAGCTTGGTTGCCAGGGGCCATGCTTAGGCCATTCAGATGAGCAGGGTCAACAGAAAGGTTCTGATGCACCAGCATGTTCCCTCTTCCCACTCCCTTCAAAAGTTTAGCTTGCTGTTGAGCCTGTGTCTGTTGCTGTTGCTGAGGGTGGTGCCTGCCAGTCTGTTGAAAGTGCTGCTGCTGGGGCTGTCGCTGCCCTTGCTTGCCTACCCGATTGGTCAACCCACTAGCACCAGGTTGGGGGTTCCTACCAAGCCCGTGAGGGGCCAAGTGGTGTTTCTGTTGGTGCTGTAATGACATAGGAGTCATTGGTGAAGATGGTGTTGGAGGGGGGAGTGATACTGGTTGAGTTGAAGCTTGAGGTTGAATCTGTGAACTATTCTGAAGAGAAGATATGGGAAGTTGGGTCTGAGGTTGGGCATGTGGCATTAAAGTGCTAGATGCAGTGAACTGTTGCTGTTGTTGTGGCTGTTGCTGTTGCTGTTGCTGCTGCAAAAGACGCTGATGCATTTGCCTTTCTTTAGCAAGGCGCATGGCATAGGCTTGCTGCCCAGTAGCATGATTGGAACTGTGAAGATGAGCATGATGCGAGTTGCTCAGTGCATGGGACTGCTGTGGAGGCATTTGCTGCTGCTGCTGCTGGGGATGACCCAAATACGACTGAACAGATGGAGCAGTTGATTGATTAGGGTAAGCAGAATTCAACCCATTGAAAGTAGGAATTCCCTGGCTGTTCCCTTGAGCCTGCATTTGGAGCTCAGGTACCATTAATTGCCTTTCATGCTCTGGATTTTGGCCAGGCTATCAAAAAAAAGTAATCTTAATTTGAAAGTCGTTGTACAACACCCTAATTTACAAGAATTATAGAGTTCCAATGTCATTATTGTTTAGAAGTTCAATGTAACTTTAAATAAACAAAGTATGTAAATGCCAAATCAGCCACATTTTCATACCGAGGAATACTTTAAAGTTTATGAGAATAAAATAATAGCTTATCAAAATCAATACTAAACAAAAGCTTTATTCATATCAACAATTGATTGCAGAGTGAATATTGCTTATCGACCAGCTAGAATACCATCCAACTTGAAGGCATTGAGGTTTACAAACCCCTATTATCCAGCTGCTGAGTTTCAGCAAGTAATTACATCTAAAGAAAGTAATTATTCAGATATGCACAGTTCATTCTCTTTCAACTTGTTAGCCAGATAAAGGAAAAATTAAGGTTTACAGTCATCAAAGAAAGTCAGTTTGATGAGATCTTCTGCGGTAAACAATCCTCAGTCATTCAGAGTTCCAATTACTTTAAAAGATTAATAAAGTATCACAAAGCATTTTATCAACATCTGTCTTGCATTTCCAATTGAATTCTCCATAATTAACATTGAAAAGCCATATGATTAAAACATGTAGGATTAAGTCCCCACATTCTAGAACTGGTATCACAGATAATATACACTAATTATTGGGGGCAAAATTAATGCTGATTATTGGTATATAACAAATACCCATTTATATGGAACAAAAGAAGCCCAAGCCAGAATAGTATGTTTAAGCATAGACTTGATCATAGTGCTCTTTGAAAAGTAAATGACTTACTCGCATCATCTGCATGGTGTCACGAGGCCTCAACATCGAATTTCCTTGACCAGAACCTGGTCCAGAGTGCATATTTACAGGACTTGGAATTCCCACCATATTGGAGAGCATGCTGCCAGAATTCAGCTTTGCTGAAGATGCCATTCCTTGGAAGCCCGGCCTTGACATTGGCATACTTCTATTCATCCCACACAACATGCCCATAGCATTTCCACCGGGTAGCATACGAATCCCACAATCTGCTCCAGAAACAGCCCCACGGAGATTCAAGTTGGACTGCTGAATATTCCTGCCAGATAACATTTGATTATATTGTTGCATTCTATGCTGCTCATCGGCTGGCAAAGATGTTCTAGGAACACCATATCTACCATCCCTGAGAGCAAATATGACCCAAAATTTGTGCCATTAGGATGTGAAAGTATACACATACAGAGAATGCAAGCTACAATCAGCTTAGTACCTGACAGATGCATTGAATGGGGCAGATGGTGATGACAAATTACTGCCAAGAACCACACCAGAAGATCCATGTACCGATGAATTTGCTCCAGAGGCAGGAAGCATTGATCCCAGAGCTCCTTGATTTGATATTGCTAAACCATTAGCATGAGAAGCTTGATATCCAATGGGTGGAACATCTTGGCTTGATATAGCGGCATCACAAAGATCAAGAGGCCTTCATCCAGACAATGAAAAATAAAAACGATATTGCATAGCATTGCAATAAAAGCAACAGAAAGCATGAACAATGAAAAACATGAAACTGGAAAACCAATAAAGATAAAAGAATCAAAAAGCTAAAGCATTAATAAAAAAAGGGACAGCAAAGCTTACGTTAGAACCCCTCCATTTAGGTTGTTTGGGCAGACTTGTGAAAGTGCAATAACATGAGAATTGTGGACAGGCACTATCTGCTTCATGTCCTGGTTATCATGCTTTACAATTCAAGATAGAAAGGCCAAGTCAGTAAAGTTTGGAAGAATCAAGGTGAAGTAAACAAAGTGAATTAGGATGCTTTCAAGTATTCAGACTGTAGGTTCTGTTCAACTCCATACTTTTTGCCACACCAATGAATGCTAACACAATTGCATCACTGAATGCTAACACAATTGTGAAGGAAAAGGCAAAAATTTTCTGACGATAGAATAAATTTAGGTTGAAATTTAATTTGAAAATTCTTTAAGCGCACAATCTCAGGATAAACAAAGTGCATCATACAGTGGAGCACAACATCTCAAGTTCAAAGACAGCTAATTCAATGTTTTCAAGGTAAATCTAAAATTTCAAAATCTCCTTCAATTGCTTGAATCAACTGGTAGATCACTCTTTATTAATGTTTTGTACTACTACTCAAGTGCTACATGAATTGCTCAGACAAAGTGTAGCAGAAAATGCAAAGGGTACCAAGGATTCAGCACAAGCCTCTATTCTGACTGGAAGCAGAGAAGAGGTCACCTTCAACCAACAGAACACTTCTTTTATTGCTCTTCCTGCTTATCCAAGATGTGTTAATGGAAACCTTCTTAAAAATTGTGGCTAGAGGACAATGGGACCCCTGGTCTGTTTTTCAGACCTTGTCATATGATTTTATAATTTTCGAATACTGTACTGAAAGTTCCGTATTTCCATTTCAGTCTCAGAGCAACAACCACAAACCAACATTTCAATAGCATCCACATTTCTTTATTTCAAAAGAAGGATGACAGCAAACTGGTGTTGATCAGGTGGCATCTTGGCGTAACAAATAGAATCAGAAAGAGTTCCAGTTTGCCTATTTCTTTGAAGCAAGGATTTAAATGTTTTAAAATGACAGCAGTATGACAAATCTAGCATGTTTTAAACCAACAAGTCCCACGCCCTTCAGAAATTAAATTAACAATGCAAAGTCTCTTTTTAAAAAGCCCATAGTCTGAATTCGCATCGAACTGATATGAAAAAACAGTAAATTTGAACTTGTAAGAGATAACAAAAAGACTGCCTTCAAATTAGTTGATTAAATCAGACCGATTTGTTCTTAACACTACCAACATGCCAGGGTCTCTAGAGATTAAATAAATGTACACTAAAATTCACAATGCACCTGACTCCATCGGTAGTGCAGTTTCTTTCCAATAAGTATAATTTTCTCAAAATGAGACTTAAGAGTATCCTCTTCCTTTGGCCCTTGTAAATGTTGAAACAACTGTCTGGCACTTCCCTGCATGAAGCAGTAGAAGCCAATCAGAGAAGATAAAATTAGCTCCTGGAATGTCCCCTATCAATACATAAAAATATGAATCTACTACTTTTGGAGAAAGAGAGAGTGGACCTTCGGAATGCCAGGTAATGTAGATGGATATGACTGAGAAGGCCCTGAATCATCAGCACTGTCAGCTCCATCACCACTCCTATCCATTAACATTTTGTGGCGTTCCTTACATTCTTTAGGCTTGCGGAATATGCACTGAAAATGTTGAGAAGTTCATGAGATTATTGCCCAATGGAAGAAGGCGAAAAGTGGAACAGAGGAGTGAGGTAAGGGTGAAAAGACAAAAAATTAGTAAGGCTGCTGTGGATATAGACAAACGAAAGAATAAGTAGCACTTTTAGAGCTGTGACACATTATTGGAGGCAATTTAGAATTATTTCAGACACATGACAAGGAAGCCCTAGATAACAGAATATGTTTGTAAAGAAATTTTGCTCAGTTACTAACCTTAAATTGAAAAGTACTGTTGATAGCATCACTTACAAGCTCCCAATTTGGACCCATGTCGTGTACAAGGACAACAAGTGCCTGAACATAATACAGTAACATCTCAAAGGCCTGGTCACAATGCTAACAGCAATTGAAGGATAAGTTCAAGAAAAGATAACAAAAGTTAACCTGATCTTCAAATAGTGACCATGGACAACCAGAACCTGGCTGACCAGCAGAAGTCTGGAAGAAGTTTGCATGGATTTAATAATTACACCAGAGCTAAGACAACTATGAAGACATTATCAGCCAGACAATTAACAAAATGGCAAGGGGAAAAATTACCTTAGGAGTTTTAGCTTTTCTATTCCTGTCACGACTGTGAATTACTCTAATAATTTTGTTGGGGTTGGACATGTTACTCATTTGGGACCCTACTGGTGAAGGGATAGATCCACTTGGAGTGATGTCAAAAGCATTATCCGTCTGTTGCTTTGTTATCTTTGGCTTCTTGACATTATGTTGCCCATATAAACCTAAGAAACAGACAATTGAAAATGTGAAGGATGAAGAACACAACACCAGATAGATATATCCAACCAAGTAACCAACCATTAGATCAAATATGATAAAAAGAGCTTTACCACTGGTTCCATTAGAATCAAAATGATGACTCTCCAGTCTCTTTTTGGAATAATCCCTCTGCAAAAGAAATAGCACCATCTAACATGAGATTATCAATCAAAAAATAGCATAGAACATAATATTTGGCAAACACAAGTGAAGATCAGAAGAAAATGCAGATAACGTTCAATGCTGCAAGAAAAAAAAAATTTGACTTACGACACCCTCAAATCTATCATGGAAGGCAGGATGTCAACTTGGTCAGATGTAAAATTGAAAATACTAAAGGAACTTAAAACTTTAAAAGTTTCCTTAATAAAAAAAAAAAATGGAACAAAATCCGACTGAAAGGATATTTGGCAATCAACTTAAAAACCAGTAATATCTTAGAAAAATGAATCTTATGCGAGGTAAAATTACACTTTAAAGTAAAATACACAAGAACCTCAAAATGGTAATTACTCATCCAGGCAGAAAAAATTTGAACTTCTTAATGAATAAAATAAATATGCTATTTTTTTAAGCTAGAAAGAAAATGGAGCAAAAGAAATGGAAAGAGTTTATTTATATCAAGATAAGCAACTTGGGAAGATAAAATATAAAATTTTCACCTGTTCATTGTGAAAAGTAGATTCCAGCTGCCAACCGTGATCATATGCAGAACCCTACCAAAAACAAAATTCAGGCACCATTAGAAACTATGAAGGCAAATAATAGAACTATCCATACTGTGCCAGGGATAAACAAACCCCAGTGTTAGTTAAAACAGAAGAATTACAACGTACGAGATTCTTGGCCTTTCTCTTCTTTTTAGGTTTTGTTGGTGTTTCTATACAGTCATATGGTAGCTGCCTTTCAAAGTCCCCAAGTGAATCAACCTCCATGCTTTTCTGGATCTGGAATTCTCCATGTAAAGTACTCTGATCATCCTGAAAAGAATTGGTATCTCCACTAGAACCATCTGTTTTTGTCGGAGCCTGTAAACCACCACCAGCAGCTGCACTGCTAAAAGGACTTAAAACCCTCTGCCTGGAACCAGTGCGCACACGTTTTGTTGGAATTGGACCAACATTTAGACTACTGGGGGGCCTTTTTCCTATCAACATCGACTGTTGAGCACAGTTTGCATATGGCAAATCAGCATCCATTTCATATGGCCTTGCAGCATATGATTTCATTGACTTCTTCTGTTTTTTCTGGTTTAATGTTGATGATTTGCTACCTTCAAAGGCTCCAGGCAAATAATACGTACTTGTTTCCCCTTCATCCTCATCATACACAAAGTCATCATATCCAAACTCTGAATTTGAAGAAGTTGTAAGGAACAGAAGACTATTCAATGACTATGAAACTGAGAAGAAAAAGGTGTCAAGATTACCTGCCCCAGCATCATAAAAAGATGTTTCAACCTCCTCTTGCACATTACTCCCAGTTTTCTGAAAAAATCATTCAATAATAACCAAGATTGAGCAGAAAAGTTCCAACAGCTGCCCTCAGGCAAATTAGCATAGAGACAGGAACATATATACGTTCTCCATGATAACTTTGACTGATTTTTTTTAGATGAATTACATCAATCCAGGACTCTGTTATTCAGAAATTTATAAAACACTCTCCCTTATTAAACATAGGGGAGGCAAAAGAAAAGGTGCATGTATAAACTCAATAAAGGACCTATATTTACCTCAGTCTGTGCCAAATAAGATTCAATAGATCTTCGGTAGGTTTCCATAGCACCTATAGGAACTGCATAGAAGAGGCTTTCCTGAAAATAAAGTACATAAAAAGTTTGAGCAGAGAATGTAAAACTAAAAAAAATAAAGAAATCTAGAACTTAGCATGCAGAGTTAAATATAAGCAACCTATTAAAAGAGATAGATAAAAGAGCTACAGTAAAAAGCCATTAATAATGAGTAAATAAACCAGAAAAGCTAAGAAAATTTAAGCCATACTTCTGTTAGGTGATCATCCCAATAAATGTCCATAATGCCTGAGTCAGATATCCCGTCAGGAGTAGCTGGTGCTTCAGCTTGAAGTGATGGAACCAGGGAGCTGCTATATTTCAAAAATCTAAGTGCATATGCCCAAATAGCTAGTTCATTGTTCTTTCCAGGTTGCTGCTGCTCCACCTTATCCATACCCTGCTTCATAACATGTTGCACAAAAAGATAAGACAGAAAGACTAATATTTCAAGGATCTGATACAATCTAGAACATGAATATGAGGGAAGTACTCCACAGTTTTCACAAGACAAAACTGAAGGCAGGTAGCCAAAACAGCTCTAAAGATAACTCAATTCCAAATATTTAAATGGATATTCTGGATTCTAGTTCTAGAATTAAAAGGCTTTTATGCATTTTCAATTGATTGTTAACTTATCATCCAGAGTCTCTATGAACTCAATCATCAAGACATCCAACCAACCACAGCAAGCCAACACACTTAAAACACCATGGAGACCATATTCACTAGAAATCACAACTAAGATCCAAAAAGGTTACAATCCAAAAACAAGCCTAAAATCCATATAACTACCTAAGTTCTCAGGAACCTCTTCTCTACATTTTAAAATAAGCCACTTCCTCCCCAGTGCAAGTATAGCAAGTGGAAGATAGTAAGATACTATGCTTGAAGAACAGAACTTATAAGCAGCTAACCAACATGAATAATCATACAAAACCAGTAATTGAATTTGAATAATATAGAAGAAACTAGCACCAAGTGCTAATAAGAAAGTTAAACATAAAAAATTATCATATTACTGTAACAGAGAGACATGCATAAATTGATTAAAAAATAAAGACCAATAAAAGTCTAAGAATATAACCAGTACCATATCACATTCTGCAGTCTTTTTCTCAGTAGCTTCATTGACCCTTGACCCCACCAAACCATGGCCACGGTTCTTTGGACCAAGACTTGCATCCTTACTATTTAGAAGCACCTCTGCTGAATGCCAAAACTCCATGACAGCATTAGCAAGGGTTAAAGCTACTTTTTTGAGTTTCCAACACTGATTTTGTTCATCAAATTTCAATTGCAAAGTAAAAGCAACACGTCGACATATTTGAGCAGCAGCAGTCATCTTCCAAAGACGCTCCTATAAGCACATAAAAGAACAAAAAAGAAAGTTTATAGGCAAATTTTGTCAATTATGTTCTCTAGTCAACTTCATATACAGGTACACTAGTTGAGTAAAGATAATAAACACAAAAGCTGTCAGTAAGAAGGAAAAAAGAACAAGAAGAATGCATAAGATGCATTTATGTTCTGTAAGAAAACAATACCTGAGCAAAATCATTTGCCAACCATGCCATTTCCTCAAGAACAAAGTCCCAGTGAGATTTTCGGCGATTCTCCAAGGGTAAGGTACCAACAGATAGTTCTGCAATCCTTCTTCGCTTAGCCTGTTTACCATAATGTCAGACCTTTAAAGCTTTTTAAAGACAAAAAGCCTTCCATTTAAATTTAAGAAATCACTGGGCATATATCATCCAAAACGATAAATAAACCACCTCTATAATCCGTGCCTCTTCCAAGATAGAATCTTCATGTACATTGCCAACCACTTTCACATGATTATCCAAACTAGTTTGAGTGTCAGCATTATCAATGGAGGTTCTTCCTGACAAAGGTGTCTCAGGAATCTCACAAATAGAGTTATCCATTGTGCTTTGAGGCCTACTAGCAGAAAAGTTTTCCTTTTTGGAGTTAGAATTATCACCCGGCACAGCACTAACTTTCTTATCAGCTTCTGATACAGCATGACTGCTTTGTTGTGCATCATTGTTGGAAGGACAACTCACCTCATTTTGCAATTCAGATCTAATTTCTACCTCCACTTTGACAGTAGAATCGTTATAAGAATGATTTTGATTAGTGGAAGTATTAGTTTCGTGGATAGCAGCACCAGCATCAACAACCTTGATCTCAATCTTTTCTTTTGCCAATTCACCAACAGCTAAGTTTGGTGACTCCTCTTTTTCTGACGTTTGTTCTGAGGGCTTTCCATTAGAATCAACATTTTTTGGATTAATACACACATCATTATCATTATTTACATCTAAGCTTAGGCTGTTTTGAGTGCAAGAGGACTCTGAATCTAATCCCTTCATCCCTACTGCCGCACTGCTATTTTGCCTTTCATTTAGTATGTTTTTCCTGTCTCTTTTGGCATCATCAAACCCATTTAGCTGATTAGAACTAGTTTCATTTTCAACTTTTGTTGCACCAGCACCAGGTGAACATCCAATACCAGCTGAAACTACCTGCTCCTTCCCTCTAACAAGATCAGGTTCCTCAGAAGCCAAGTTAACCGGAGATTCATGAACCTCCACTTGAGCAGGTTCATTATGCAGGTCATCTGTCAAGCTTTTGGAAACTGTAACATCAACCTTGCTTTCAGATAGATCACCTTTTGACTGGTCAGTCATTTCTTCCACGGCCTGCGCACCATCCATCTCCGTATTCAACTGATTATCAGAAGTTATCACCTTTGAAGGCAAACCACCATTAGAAATTGCAGATTTTATGGTATTAACAGAGGATATATTGTTTTCCTTTTGGTTATTTGTTTCAGAGGTCAGAGCCCTCCCATCCTTTGATGCTCCACGAGCAGATAAAGAAGAGCCATGAACACCTCGACCCTGAATGATATCTGTTGAACTTGATCGAGCTCCATCTCGATTTATTTTGGTCCTGTTCCTTCTAGCATAAGGACGAAAAATAGCAGAATCTTCAGATTCTTTGGCATTTTGAGTCCCATCCATCTGAGAAGATTGCTCTGATGGAACAACAGTATTCCTCTTACGAGGATGCACAGACTTCCTTTCACCTTCAGGCAACTCGTTCTCACCGTCAAAAAGTAAGAGATTATCAGCACTATTGGGTTCACAAACTGCAGGAACCCCTGGTCTACCACTGCTCTCTACAGAATCACCATGAGGTGAGGCAGTCAGTGCAAAACTACCTTTTGCTTCACTGTAATAACAAAGGACAGCAGAAGATCAGCTAGTTACTCCAATACAATTTAGAACCATAATTGTGTAACATACAACAGTAAAAAGAATATACCTGGTAACAAAACGTTCTGCATGCTGATCAGTAAGAGAAGTAGACTGGACACTAACTGAAGCTGCGTTGCCAAATTTGAAATCCAAGGGATTGCCACCCTGACAATGTGTTTTATGGTGAATATTAATCTATAAGAAATCGGAAGTAGCAAGAGGAGATAAAAATGCATACTTTCTCAAGAAACTCAAGTTCCCTTCTCCTTTCCTCACGAACATCATACTCCTGCCTGTTATAGTCAAGAGAAAAAAAATGAAAGAACAAAAAAAAGTTGCCTGTATTTAGAGATGTGAACTAAAGCACATTTTTCTGGAAAATAAAAAGGGGTATGAGTTATAAAAAATGGAATGTAAGCATCACCTAAGCTCTGCTTGAGCCTTCTCAATAGCTGCCCTGTGTGGAGAGGTCTTGACACCAATCCCAACTCCGCCATCAACAACCCCTCCCATGGAATCAACCTCAGCATTTACTAAGAGAGCAGATCCTGAGTTACATCCATGCATCCCTACCTAAATATCTACAGGCTTGCCCCTCCCATTGATGTAAAATGAAGATATTGTTGAATACCTAGAAAAGTTGTTTGAAAAAAAATTAAAAAAAAAAACGAAAAATCAGAATAACAAATATAGTAAATGAAAACTAAGGAAAATAATGAATTAAATAGAAGCAGCAATCAACTATGAACAAATATTTTCCCCTCCGGTAAGTTGCAATGTAGTCACCCTCATAACCACAGTAAAGACAGTTTTCTTTATTCAAAAAAGATTCAAAGTCATAAAACTTCACAATTGCACAAACCGATATCATCAAACTCACTCAAGATAATAAAAAATGGGATGTTTTCCTGAAGCTCATATATGTATAAAACCAACATAAATAAAAGACAAGGTAGAAACTCCCAATAAACGGACAACAATACATGTAAGAGAAGAATCAAGCATGCAGCATATACGTTGTTTACCATAAGAAGGATCACTGTAGAAGATTTTTCCTAGAAAAGAACAAAGTACATTAATTTGAAAAGAAGAAAATGTATGAATAGAATGACTTGAACTAGATTAAGGAGCAGCAATATTATTCCAAATCAGTGATTTTCTGGCAAATAAAAGTGCTTCCTACTTTTTTTATTCTTTTCCGCATTGAGTTGCCAAAAGGGGAGAAACAAGGTGTTCATAAAAAGAATATGAATAGCACATTGATTGCATATCTTTCACCTTTTAATTTCGCACTCCTTCACAGTAGTTTCACAGCAACTGAAATAACCAAATTAGCTCAAAAAACAATTAAAGTTCACTCACCACCTTCTATCAATTGAAAATTCACTTGCATGGCGCGAGGTTGCCACAAGTTTTGGTCAGTTAAACAGTTCAATAAAGGAAATGCATAGCCCGCCATTAATTGCAATGCCAAAAGCAATGATTAATTATAGAAATTAACGATTCTATCTATGCCACCGGATAAGCATACTTCATATCATATATATGCGTACGCATAGAAGTAAATGATAGCATATGAAGAGCTTGGCACCAGCAATTCTCTTCAAATTCCAGGAAAATAACCACTAGAAGTCGAAAATCAGTAGCTAAACAATGTAACGTAGAAACAATGTAACGTAGACCCTAATGAGCTTCCCCAGCATTTAACTTCGAATTAATGTAAACAAACACATAAGAAGACCACCTTAAATCCACAAGCATTCAATCGAAATGCGTATAAAAAAACCACAAGAGAAACAAATGGAAACCCTAAACGAATTGAATCACGGAAATCGTGCCCTAATTTGAAACATTACTCAATTTCCAGGGTTTCCATTAAAAACAAGAAAAAAAATTTAAGCGCGAAAATAACCTGAATTGGGATACGGAGTCGAACAATTGGGAGTTAGGGCACAGCACCGGGGAGGACCTGAAACGTTCCCGCTCTTTTTAACACTCTCGTCACCTCTCTATATCTCTCCTAGGGTTTTCAAGCTTCAACCCCAACGTCTGACCTCAATCAAAACGACACGAATTAACCCTAAAATACGACGCCTCCCTGCAAATGCAAGCCATGAGCGCGTTGTTGAGTCCCTCTCTGTTAAGAGTCCTTTGTGTAATTTTTTTCGTTTTCGTTCTCTAAAAAAAATTGTGTTTTTCTTTTTTGGAGAAATAATTTCTTTTTAGTTTTTTATTTTTAGTTTTTTATTTTTCTGCGCATAGATTTTGTTTGGTTTGGCTGCTTTTCGGGCTGCTATGCGACTCCTCGCATGGAGTGTTGTTTATTTTTTATAAAATCACAATGTAACCAGTAAAGCAATTATTTTTATGAAGATAAATTTATTTTTTGGGATTGAAAATTATTTTATTTGATTAGTAATTAATAATTTTTAGAAATTTAAAATTATTATTGATTGATATTATTAAAAAATAATTTTATTTTATTTAAAAATATAAAATTAAATATACATATTATAATAGGTACACAAATTAACTATTGTAATTTTATTTAAAGATAATAATTTGTAAAATATTAATATTATTTTATTTATTTTATAATAAAATATTATTAAATTATTAAATTAATAAATATATTTATTGATAGGTAAATAAATTTTTAATATAATATAAACTATGTAAAAAACAATTGAATTAGAAAATAAAATTAATTTGTTAAATTTATAATAAAGAAAAAATAAAAAATTTATTTCTAAACTTATTAAAATGAATATCAATTTGAAGATATAAAAAATTATTATCTAAAATAATTATAATTTTAAGAGAAAATAAATTTTTAATTAATTTTATATTGACTATTATTAATTTTGTATATTATTACATCTCGATAATAAAAGTTTTTTATCTTTTTAGATAAAAATTCAAAATTATTATCATTAAAATATATAAAGCATTTACCAAAAATAATGATTTATAATTAAATCATTATGATTTTTTAAATGATCACTCATATCAAATGTTATCTCAATAATAAATAACGGACTTGAGTTTTATAAGGAAAGATGATAAGGATAAAAGGACTTTTTTTTTCTTCGCTATAAGTTTTTAAGATTTATTCAAAATTGATTGAAAAGAATTTTAGATTTGTGTCAATCTAATTATAAAAAATATTTTCCATTGCAAATAAGTTTTTCAATCAAATTCTTAAGTAGGTTTTTAATTAATTTATTAATTTTTTTCAAAAACATTGTCTTTTAATTTACTATTTATTTAGTTTAAATAATTATTATTTTTTACCTAAATTTTTTATATGGCATCAATTAATATATTAATATATTATTATCCTAAAAATATAGAAAAATGTTTAACTATATACTCTCTCTCTCCTCGTATTTATTTGTTTAGTTTTGACTTTATTAAGATTAAGAAAAAAATGGCTTTAATGTATTTTATTAAATTTTAAATTTCTTTATAAATTGATTTGTATGATTTTAATGTAAAAATGGAAATGTTCATGAAATTGAACTTAAAATTTAAAAATAAAAGTATTAAATGTTAAAAAATAAAATGTTTTTTTAAAACATAGAAAAAATTATAAAAAAAAAGAGATGGAGAGAAAGTTATATGATTTTACAATATTAAAAGCTATTAAAATATGAGTTTATATTTGATGCACATCAATTCTATATATTTTTAATGAATCAGATAATACACATAATTAATAAATAAATATCGATCCTTAAATAAATATATAAAAAATTAATATTTTTTAAAAAACTTATTAGGTGACATCATCCTATTCACTTGCCGTATATAAAATTTATAAGTGTATATTTAATATACTGTTAATATATAGATTTTATATACTGTCAGCAAATCAGATAATAACAACTCCTTAATTAACAAATATTAACCCTTAAAATAAATGTACATAAACTAAAATAACTTACCATTAATGATATGTTATCATTTGATTCACCTCATTAATGAATTGTTATCATTTGATTTACTAACAGTATATAGAAGCTACATATTGACGTATATAGAACCTATATACTGATAGTATATTAAATATAAACTCAAATTTTGTACACTAACAATGTATTATATATATATATATAAACCCTTAAATATTATTGTCCATAATTAAAATAGAATTATTGTTATAAGCATATTTAAGTTGATATCTTGATTTTTTTTTTATGAAATTGATATCTTGAATATATTGATTTTGATCGTGGTTAAGGGTCAGACAGAAGAAGTGGCGAGGAACCAACTACAATCTTCCCTTCATCAATAAAACACACGATCCTTTCTTAGTCAGACATGCTTTGCATAGCTCCTTACATTCTATCAATAAGCTAGCTATAAAGAATTATGATATTAGCGTGTTGTTTCCAACTTTGGATCCTAAACCTTCCAAAACAAATCGAGGATTTTTTTTACTTATTGTCCTCGTTGTCACTTTCTTTTTTGGGTTTTAAAAAAGGCTCCATCACATAATGCTTACAGCTCTACAAATCAAACTTTAAAACATGGGAAGCTAATAGGTCTTAGTTCATTAAATAAAATGATTGTATCTCCATTTACTATTAATGAAGTTGTAGCTATTGTTAAAAATAAAAAAGCATGCGGACTAGATCCAGAAGGGATTTTGGTTCCTTGCCTCCCCCAGTTAAACAAATAAGCTTTTATAAGGGATTATTATTATCAAACTCTAAAGCGTAAAACAAATATGAAAGGAAAAGATTTATGTTGGGCTTGGTTTCTTGCATGTAAAGGTAGCTTAAAACTGAAGCCTATTCATGAAGGACTTTTTATTCCTTTTTCATGCTTGGTTGTATGGCTTTAAACACAAAGAAACAAATGAGTGTAGTGGCAATAGAGAAAAAAAAAAGGGTTTTGTGTAGTTTCGATCAAATGGTTTGATTGAGGTCAATCTGTTATCCATATATTCACGACTCATTGTTCTTTAGTCTAAACGATGAAAATTGGATTTCAAGTTTTCTACCTACTGATTTTGTGGATATTTATTAATCCTTAAATTTATTAAGATTTTTTTAATTTTTTCCTACAAGATTATTTCTTTACCAAGATTGTTTGATCTTAAGATATTATGGTTCTTAACCTCTAGTTTTAACTAGAAAAAAATTTGTATTTTTACTATTTTAATAGTAGAGATTATTTGTTGCTACTCGTGATTTTTACTCCTCGTTTTAGAGAGATTTTCCATATAAGTTGCTTGTGTCTTTAGGCTTATAGTTTGGAGATTTATTTGTTAGCTCTATTTATTTGATTCCTATTAGATTCACATAAAAGAAGAATAATTTGATTTTTTCATTACTTTATTCAATTTAAATATTGTTTGAAGTTATTTTATCCCATCAAAGTGGTATCGAAACCCAAGCTATTTGATTGGTGCGTTGTATTGAATAATGGAAGCCAATATAAGTAGAATGATAAAATTGAATTGTTTAAATTACCATGTATGAAAAGGAAGATGAAAGACTTGCTTTATGTGATTATTATTTACCTATATTTACCACTTAAAAGCCTGAAAATAAAATAAATGTAGAATAGTATTTGTTTCATCAACAAGTATATGGTTATATAAGACAGTGGGTAGATGATAATGTTTTGAACCATATTAGTGGAGAGACATATGCACACATTTTGTGAAACAAGCTTGAGAAGTTGTATACTTAAAAAATTGAGAATTATGAATTATTTTTAATTAAACAGCTAATGAATTTGAAATATCGAGATGAAACTCCTATGACAGATCACTTGAATGCATATCAAGGTATTATTAATTAGTTGGCTATCATGAATCTCAATTTTAAAAATGAGATACGTAGCTTATGGCTTTTTAGTACATTATCAAACTCGTGAAAGACGTTTAGAACAATGTTATTTAACTCAACCCCAAACGGTATTATCACTATAAATTTGGTTAAAAATGATGTTTTGAATGAAAAGATGAGAAGAAAGTCATAGGGTTGATCTTTTCAATCTAAGGTTTTAATCACAAAAAATAAGAAAAGAAGTAAAAGTAAAGCTCTGAAGAACAAAGATAGAAGTAAGAATAAATTCAACTAATTTGCTAACGTTAAGTGTCATTATTGTGGTCTAAAAGGGCGTATAAAAAAGTATTATCGAAAGTTGAAAAAAGATAACAATAGTGATAAGGATAAGGAAAAAAAGAATAGTGATAGTAATGATATTGATAAAGTTGCTATTGTCACTTATGACTCTTTTATTTTATATGATGATTTTATCATATTATTGTTTTATATCGATGACATGTTAATTGCAAGCAAGAATATTTCTAGAATTGACCAGTTGAAGAAGTAATTGAGTAGATCTTTACTATGAAAAACTTAGGACCATCACAGTAAATTCTTAAAATTCAAATTCATCGAGACAAAGCAGTCAATAAATTATATATGCCATAGAAGTACTATATTGAAAAAGTGCTTGAAAAGTTCAAAATGGATTAAGCTAAAATGGTTAGCACTTCTCTTGTTACACACTTTAAGCTTAGTATTAATCAAAGTCTTTCTACAACTAAGGAGAAAAAGACATAAGAAGAGTTTTATATGCTTCAACAATAGGAAGTTTGACATATGCAATGGTGTGTACTAGGCTAGACATAACCCATGCAGTTGGTATTGTTAGCCTCTTTTTGTCAAATTAAAAAAAGAGAATTGAAATGCAATTAAGTAGGTTATAAGTATCTACGAGGCACTTTCGACTTAAAACTCACTTTTGAAAGTGAAAAATCATTACTAGTTAGCTACACTGATTCAGATATGATAAAATATGCTGATTCTCAAAAGTCTATATCAGATTATTTGATTACATTCTCAGGTGAGATTGTATTTTAGCAGTCGAAACTATAAAAATATGTTGCACTTTTGACAACAAAGGTGCTGTATGTCGCAGTTATTAAAGCATATAAGGAGTTGTTATGGAGGAAAAAGTTCACACAGGAACTCGGTCTCAAGCAATGATGTTATGTGATATTTTGTGACAACCAAAGCGTAATTCACCTTGGCAAGAATTTTACTTTTCATTCAAGATCAGAGCACATTGATTTGAAATACCATTGGTTAAGAGATGCTTTTATTGATAACTTGTTTGAATTTGATAAGATTCACATCAATCACAATGGTTCTGATATGTTAAAAAAGATATTATTAAATAAGAAGCTTGAAGTTCGTCATTCTATTACCAGAATGACGATTCCTTCTACATAGTTAGAAAGAGAAAGATTTGTTGGGCTTGGTTTCCTCCATATGGAGATGGGCTAAAACTAAAACCCATT